TTTGTCCCAAACAAGATATCGAGAATTTTTGTTTCCGTCACGTCCTGTTTCTAATCGGGAATACAAAATTTGTCTTATATTAGAAATGCGTTCTCTTATGAGACATAAATTGGAGAACGGGTAAGATATAATGGAACATGATAAAATTGAATGGGAATTACGCATATCTCTAAATATTTCTATTTTTCGCAAACGTATTTAATCATTTTAACGGTTTTATATACGGTTTGATAGTTTACAAGTTTAATTTTCACAAGTTTAATAAAAATCTACCTGACCATTAATTCTATTCAGTTTGATCTTGGTCCGACCGACCGTTTGATTGTTACGAATTTTAAAATACTATTAAAATCATTATTATTTCAAATATTTCAACCAACTGATATGAGTTTAGGTTATAGATACTATAACTATATAATATTTTTTTTTACATCAATCTAACTTATATTATATTTCAATCTAAGATTTTTTTCTAATCTACTCTTCAGTTTCAAACTCCAAAAAAATGACTTATGGTTGCTATTGTGTTATAAGCAAATATAAATAACATTTTATACTTTTATGTGTACATTATAATTTATTCAATACAATCTATATCACTAAAACAACAAAATAATCATATATTTAATAATAATTTATTACAACACATTTCTTAAAATATGAAATCCCGCACGTATGTGCGGGTCAGGATCTAGTTGATTATATGTTCGAATTCAGATTGTATAAAAGTTCTTTTCATGTGAATTTAGTATGGATGTTTTAGCCCAGCCCAACATAATTTTAAAAAAATTTAGAAGCTCAACTCTCTAGTCCAAATATCTTTGCCTTCATCATCAACAGTCTAAAGAAAGAAGGAAAATTTACATATTTGTTCGATCATGTCACTTGAATATTTCCTAATAAGTATTATCTAAATCTAGATTGATTACAATAAGAGTCACGATTCTTATTCAATTAAGTTTAGGGAATATTTATTTCTCCACTGTATAAAGTAGTTAACAAGAAAGGCTCTTTGTGTTTGATTTACTTGTCTAAGGGTTTTCTGCTAATGAGGAATTCACCAGTTGATTTGCCTTATCTTCCTGATGATTTACTTTTGAACTGCATAGCCCGCGTCTCGAGATTGTACTACCCGATTCTCTCCTTAGTTTCCAAGAGATTCCGCTCTCTCGTGGCATCGCCTGAGCTTTACGAGACCCGAACGCTCTTAGGACACACTGAGAATTGTCTTTATATGAGCTTACGTTCTGAATCTGACACACGTTGGTTCACTCTATGCCGAAGGCCAACTCGAATCCCTAACCCTAACCCTAACCCTAACCTTAACTCTCGATGGTTCACTTCCTGTTTTAGACCAATCCTAAAAAATCTCACTAGCAAGGAAGAAAAGAAGTTTAGTCAAAATCTTATGGTCTCAGTCCCAACTTGCAATTATTCTCCTCAGTTTGGGTTTACTAGTACCACAATTGGTTCTAATATCTATATGATTGGTGGTCCGTGCTCGTCTAGGATCTTCTTCTTAGACTGTCGGTCTCACACCTGGCACGAAGCTCCAAGCATGCGGGTAGCCCGAAAGTTCCCCCTCTTGAATGTTCTTGATGGAAAAATATATGTAGGAGAAGACTTGACCAATTCCTCAAATTTGATGGAGTCTTTCGATCCCAAAACCCAATTATGGGAGCATGTGCCAAGCCCTAGCGCGGAGATACGTGGGAGTTACATATTTAAAAGTTTAGTCTTAGACGGAAAGCTTTATCTGTTTGGGGATAAAATTGTGGTTTACAAGCCTAAGGAAAATATATGGGAAGCGGTAGGAATGGAGAAGATGATTTTGATTTGGGTTTGCTATTCTTCTTCTTGCGTAATAGATAGTGTACTCTACTGTTTCAGTGAATATGCCAGAAGGCTCCTATGGTACGACTCCGAGGTAGAATCGTGGAGATTTTTGATGGGTTTGAAAGAACTACCTAAGTTATCAAAGCATACTTCTTGTGTTAAATTGGTGGATTACGGTGGAAAGATAGCGCTTTTGTTGGAGAAGAAAGTGCGTGCTATCGGTTCTAACAAGAAGATGATTTGGTGTGCTGAGATTTCGCTTCAAAGACGCAATGCTCACGAGATTTATGGGAAGATTGAGTGGTGTGATGTTGTGCTTACGATCCCTAAGTCATGTTCTTTATTGCATTTTCATGCTGTTACTGTTTGATGAATGAACACATTTGTCATTAACACCATTCTTTCTTTTCCAATCTGACGTTGCTCTGTTGACCACTGGTATATATACTCATACTTTTGATGATATACTCTCAATTATCTCGAACTCCACGCTAAATTGTACACCATGTTTCTTAATGAGGTATGTCTTCCAAGTCACGCTATACACAATTTGGGAGAGAAGAGTGATAAGATTTTAAAATTGACTTTAAAAAATATATTTCTAATGTTTGGCTTTCAACATTATTGTATAAAAATATTTTCCATATGGAATTCGAATATGATATTTTTACCCGGGCCAACATAACTTCGGAAAAAAGCAGTTCAAAAAATACAACTTTTTTTCTGGAAGCATCATAAATTCACCATTAACCGTCTACATCGATCTTGTTTATATTGAAGATTTCTTAATTACAATAGGACCAGTAGTCTAGTATATATAATCTAAATCTATAGATTGATTACAAGATAAGAGTTTCGATACAAACTAGATTTAGGAACTATATATTCTCCAGTACTATAAAGTAGTTGACAAAGCTCTTCGAGTTTGAATATTACTCTCTAAGCGTTTTCTACTAATGATGAATTCACCGATTGATTTGCCTTATATTCCTGATGATTTACTTTTGAATTGCTTAGCCCGTGTCTCGAGATTGTACTACCCGATTCTCTCCTTAGTTTCCAAGAGATTCCGCTCTCTCGTGTCATCTCTTGAGCTTTATGAGATCCGAACGCTCTTTGGACACACCGAGAATTGTCTTTATCTGACCTTACGTTTCAGTACTGAATCTGACAAACGTTGGTTCACTCTATGCCGAAGGCCAACTCGAATCCCTAACCCTAACCCTAACCCTAACCCTAACTTTAACTCACGATGGTTCACTTCCTGTTTTAGACCAGATAGAATCCTAACGAACCGCACTATGGAGAAAGAGGAGAAGTCAAGTGACAATCTCATGGTCTCAGTCCCAACTCAATATGTTAGTACTCCTCCGTCTGAGTTGACTTGTACCGCAATTGGTTCTAATATCTATATGAGTGGTGTACTCAGCAATGGTGCGTTCTCGTCTAGGATCTTCTTCATGGATTGCCAGTCTCACACCTTACACAAACTTACAAGCATGCAGACGCCCCCAAAGAAACCCGTCATTAAGGTTCTTGATGAGAAAATATATGTATTGGAAGGCTGCAATGATCTTAATTACTCGAATTTGATCCAGTGTTTCGATCACAAAACCTTAACATGGGAGCATGTGCCAAGCCCTAGCGCGGAGATACGTGGTAGTTATATTACAACATGTTTAGTTTTCGACGGAAAGCTTTACATGTTTGGGGATAAAAATTTTGTTTTCAAGCCCAAAGAAAATAAATGGGATGTGGTAGGATTGGAGATGCCTTTGCGTTGGATTCCATCTCATTTATCTTGCGTAGTAGATAACGTCATCTACTCTTATGGAAGATCTAGAGTGCTCCGGTGGTACGACTCAGTGGGAAGATCGTGGAGATTTTTGAAGAGTTTGAAAAAACTACCTAAATTACCAAAGGATTGGCTATGTATTAGATTGGTGGGTTATAGTGGAAAGATTGTGGTTTTGTGGGAGAAGAATGTGCGTGGTGGAGACCCTAAGAAGAAGATGATTTGGTGTGCTGAAATTGCGCTTGAAAGGCGCAATGCACAAGAGATTTATGGGAAGATTGAGTGGTGTGATGTTGTGCTTACTGTCCCTAAGTCATGTTCTTTATTGAATTTTATGGCTGTTACTGTTTGATGAATGAACACATTACTCATTAATACCATTTTTTCTATATAATGCATCTGACTTTGCTCTGTTTCTCTCGTTTAAAACTCTATTTTGGGTTTGTTCTGCTTCACTCTGTTTTTGACTCCCAAACAAAGCCATGTAAAAAAATTATCATACTATATATTGTAGAGTAGGCTGAGTAGCGAAAGTGATATATAGAGTTCATAGAATTAAATATCATTTGGACTGCAGCAGCCAGCAGGTAATGTGAAGGACTCGAATACACGGTGATCATTACACTCTAAAGTTAGGTAAAATTTTCTAATCATGTCAAAATCATTCTTTGAGAAGCAACTATGAGTTCATTAGACTCAATACTTGACGTACCCGCGTTTCTAGTATATTTTGAGATGGAATAACTATCAGTCTATTTGTGGTGAAAAAGTAACCAAATATTCCTACACAATATAATGTACGCAAAGCAAAGAGTAGAAACTGCGATTGCGCTTGAAAGACACAATGTTCTAATCGGGATTTAGCTGAGGATTTGGTGTGCTGAGATTACGCTTGAAAGACACAATGCACAAGAGATATATGGGAAGATTGAGTGGTGTGATGTGGTGCTTACACTGCCCAAGTCATGTTCTATATTTGAGTTTAATGCTGTCAGTATGACTGTTTGATGAATGAACAGGTTAGATTTAATATCATTTTGCTTTCAATTGGATTGAATGAATTGTTTTTTTCTTTCCTTTTTGTAGTTAAATTTGATGAAGGTTTGCTCAATTTTGGGCTTGGAATAACTTTATGTTTTTTTGCTCTGTGAGACTGTAACAAAGCTTCTTGATTCATAAAAAAAAAAAAACACCAGAACTTGAACAGCTGTTTTGACTCTCCAGAGTACAAAACCTTCGATAATCACTCTAGGGAATCAACATTTAAAACGAATTTGTGACTCTTTTAATTTGTGGGGAGTTGTATTACCCATCTTATTCCCAAACTGTCAAGTACAGACTTGATTTTATAAATCAGAAGCTGAAAGAGTAAATTTGAAGATTTTGATTAACATTATAACTAGACAAAGATAAGAGAGACAGACCAAAGGCAGTATTGTATGTACAACTGAAACGACTAAACGACGACGGTTTTATAAACTATAATCCTCCACCCCCAACAAAATACTTTTCTTTTGTATAAAGAAAGATAAAAATAACTTGAAAATTAAAGAGTTTCTAAGCAGAAGACAAATGTATAAGTCTTATATTTAAGAGCTTAAACTTACTCAGATAAGCTCAAGGAATAATGCTTCTTGTTTGCTGGTCAATCCAAGATCGTTTAAGGTCGACTCACTTTCCCCATCTCCAAACGCATGCCTCGGATATGGCCTCACCTGTTTCACCACACTAAAACTTAGTCACCTTGAAAGATTTCGACTGATTTTAAACCGTCTGGTATAGGACCAAACCGGTCAAGCATAACTTTTGCTTTACATTACGGTAGTTAACCGCTGGCTAGGCTAGCCAGCATGGCCACAGCGCCGGGATGAATCGGGTCTGGAGTCTAAACCCTAGTGAGTCATTGACCTGATTTGGAACCAGCACTCATAACATCCTATATGCCAGAAGAGATTTATTTATTTGTAGAGGTAGAATATTTACCAGTCTGTAAGTGTTGGGTTTCACCACTCTGGCAATGTCTATAAAGTTGAAAAGGGACTGCAAAAGAGCGCAACCAACTGTTATTTACCGATATAAATTGAGTAATGAAAAACCAAAGTGAAATGGACTTTTGGGAAAACCGACTTGGAGTTTGTCAGATCTAAGGAACCGGCGGCCACGGCGTGTGCCATCTGGCATCCGGATTAGAAGGGTAATGGCATTCTCTTCGTCTGCTTGAGGCTCCTTAGGTAAAGACGCTTCTTTTGCACCTAGTTGCCTCTCTAGCTCCTGCAACAACATTCAGAGGAAAATAAACTTAATATCATAACAAGAGAACGGCCTTCACTAAAACTTGTGCAAAACCAGCCTACATAGCAAAACAAACCAGACTATTTTCACAATCATTGTATGGTATAGAGATACATTTTCTGATGCAATAAAGCTGCATGTGGTTTGGATGATCTTTCTCTAGCTACTAGCAGGAGTCTCCATAATCATCCGCAGTCAAGAAATTTACGAAAACTTGTTTGACCGCGGATTTAGAAAGAGAGATATAAATGAAAACAGAAGCAGCACCTGTTCCTCCTCGAGTTTTTTTTGAGCTTCTTCCTCTTTTTTCTTTTCTTCCTCCAGAAAAGCCTTTCTAGCAGTTTCTTCCTCTATCTGACGTGCCTCAGCATCTCTTATGGATTTCATTTCTTTATCTCGGTCAGCTTGCAGGGATGCAACATACTCATCATCCTGCTCGATGTAACAGCTCAAGAATGTTATAATATCCCGTAACTCTCGATAAAGTAGAGGGGTTTAGTCAAGTAGCTAGTAAGTGTTGCCTAACCTGCTGTTCCCGTATCAACCTCTGAGCTGTCAGTGAAGGTGAGGGTGGACGTGGTTGTGCCCTTGGCTGAGGAGGTAAGAATGGAAGATGATTATATCCAGTTTCAGGAATGCCACCAAACATGGCTGCCTCAAGCATGACAGCTTCATCATGTTCCTCAGATGAAATGCCTCCCCACTAGAGCATACATAATAGAGTATTAGCAATGACAAGGACTAGCTACTCTAGGATTATCACCAATAAGTAATACTGGAATTCTAGTCTGGTTTCAGTGTAATTAACAAAACAGATTTCACGGATACCTCAGAAGGAAACCCACTGCCACGCTCCGCTGGATTAATACTTGCATGTTCTTCTTCAGGACTCCCACTCCGGGAACGATCAGCGTTAGGTGGAGCCAACGATCCGGATGCTGCACGTCTTGGCCTGTGTCTAACAAGAGGTTGCACATCAACATCATCAGAGTCATCATCAAATGGTGAGCTAGGTGCCGCCAATCTAGACAATATAAAAGATAATCTGTTAGAAATTTTGACAAACACCAGTAGACAAACTGCTTGACAGAAGTTTTTGCAACTGCAGATAGTAAGCTCGGATAACACAGTAGCAAAGTGTTACAGAGAAGGACCAACAAACCTTCCGTTCAGGGCTTGGGGATCCAGAGGTCCTTGAGCAGCAGTCACTTCAGAAGCTCCTATTTCTGAGGTTGAGGCCTTATACCCTTGACTGCGCAAAACTTCTTCCTCCGCTGACTGCACTAATTTATGTTAAAAGTGATCAAAGGGAGATGGCAGCAAAAATAAAAGAGAGGAGACAACCACAGACCTTCAGTGACATCGTAACAGCTTTTGCTATATCATCATCATCTTCCATGTGAGGTGGCCTCTCTCCAAGTAAAGGGTTACTTGATCCCTATAAAAAAATTAAAAAAGCTCATAAATTTGCTACTTCACTAAGACAAACTCAAATACTGCCCATTCTCTCAGAGAAGCTTACCTCAGCCTCCTTCTTTGAGGCCTCAATGGCAGCTCTGATCATTTCTTCTTCAATATCATTGTAATCTTGATTATTATTGGCTTCAGAACCAGCAGGTCTGTCTTGCCTACTTCGTCCCATTGGTGCAAAAGGAATATCATCATCACTCTCTTCATCTATAATAACAGTTCCTTGGGTAGCTGCTGGACCCTGAACATGAGCTGTTTCTGTCACATCCTCAATAGTAGGAGCATCACTAGATCGTCCAGATGGCCCACTGCTATCCTTAACCTCTATTGGTATCTGCCTAACCTCCCTGGGATAACTAACAAACGGAGGGCGCGACATAAGAGGATCGCTATCAAATACACGTCTAGCAAAGTCCGAATCCAAAAGTGAAAAAGGACGGCCCATTGTTCTAGCTGCATTGAACATAGATAGAGGAGATTGTGGAGCCGGAATCACATCATCTATATCCATTTCATCATCATCATAAGAAGCATTAATCGGCGCTTCACGTACTCTGCACAACGAGCATAACAACAACATACCACACATAAAAAAAATGATAAATTTGCAAAACAGAGAACAAAAATAAATAATCATCAGTGAGATAGATGGTCATACACATTTCGATCTCCTTCGCTGAAATATGCATTCACCGCTTGATTAAGATCACCACGATGTTCCTGCAGTAATCATAAGGCAACCAAAGTGTCCTATGTATGTCAACAATGGAGAAAATCATAGAATCATATCAATGAACAAGTAATAAACGCGAGAATTCAGGAGATATCGTTGAGCTAAAAAGCAATGTAAGAACAAAAACCCTTCTAGAAACTCAATCAGACCATCCAATGACCTAAAATTCTGAAAATCAACTTCAATTTCAACCCCAAAACATCAAACATCAAAACGAGTAAAGGAAAAAGCATCCGATTACACAAACGATCGTCGTCTCATCGAACTTTCACTTTCACATTACCGATTCTAAAAACTTCGAAATCAAACATGAATCATAAGGAATCGTGAAGAAGGACAAAGAAAAACAAGAATCGAGATGAGTAAATTTCGAATCACCTCGAGTTTCTGAAGAGCGACGGTGTCAGAAGCGCCGGTGATGCTGATGAAAGTGTCGATTGATTCCTGATTCGGTGTCGCCATAAGAGAGAAGAAGAAGATTGGAGAATCACACGAGCTTTTTGGTTCGCAACAAAGAAATGATTGATTGTGAAAATTTTGGGAGACTTGGAGTGAGCAAGGGGAAAAGAAAAAGATGTTGGTTTTGTGAAAATTGCAATCAAAAGATTGGATCGGTGAAACTCGTCGTTTTAAGGTCTTTTTTTTTTTTTTTTTTTTCTGGGATAAAGTTTTGGGTTTTTTCCTCTTTTGTTTTTTTGGTTTATGTGATGATGATTTATTGATTTATGTGGAAAGTCTTTGAAGTTTCTTCTCTATTGTTCTAGAATGATTATTTAAGCTAGTGAACACATTTAGTTAGTTAATATTGATAAATACAATTTAAAAGAGTATTTCCTACACATCACCAGATTTGAGGTTTATTATAATTGTACTTTTTAGTTATAATTGATGAATCAAATAAGAAAAATCATGGTCAACCACTTTAATCAGAATTTGCAAGAAAGGGTTTAATTTCATCCATATAATTTTGGACAATTTTCATAAATACCACTCAAATGAGTTTTTTTTTTCATAAATACCACTAAAGTATATTTTTCAAAAAATATACTCTAAAAACTCAATACTAAACACTAAACCCTACCCCTAAAAACTATACTCTAAATCTAAAATAGTACCAAAAATTTTAAATTCTACACTCTTGAAAATCAATTTTGGTGTTTGTGGTTGTTTTGGTCTACTTTTGGAAAACAAAACTTTAGTGGTATTTTTGGAAAATAAAACTAATAGTGGTGTTTTTTTTTTTTTTTTGTTAAATGTGGTTTTTTGAGTAATTTCTCTATAAATAATTTAAGCAAACACTTCAAAAAAAAAAAAAAATTAGAAGACGACATAATAAACCCGCCAGTAAAGATTACAAATGCTAATTTCTATTTAACTAAAATTTTCTAAACAAAAAAAAATGAAAGAACTAAACAAAAAAGTATAAAACTAACTAAGAACACAAAATGGTATTAAATCCGCGCAACGCCCTCTCAGCCGTGGGATGGAGTTGACTCTTCCAAGAGTGAGTAAGTATAGTAGTCTTTACCATTTATCACCCGATCAAAGATGCATGATGGATTGGTGATGATTCCCCAGCTGAGTTTATAATAGTTCAAAAGTAAGTGTACCTTGTTGTCAATGAGATATTTCCAATCTTTTCCTGTTAGTATGTAACGGATTGCGAATTTCAATATATCTAATGGAAAAAAGAAGATGATGTTGTAGAGCCAAATCACTCCAGCCCAACCCCATCCTATTCCTTCGATTCTCGCAGTTTCCCAACTTGTGGAAGCCGCGATTATTGTTGCAAGCTACAAGGTCAAGTTTATAAATCAATGAAGAGATTTTAAAAGAAGACAAAGAAGAAACAGAATCATTGTTTTCTATACTTACACATTGTGATAACATGAAAGAGTGAAGCAAGAACACTCCAGGCCGTTCGACAAAAAACCAGCTTCTCGATCGAATGACGAAGAAAAGAGCTTGGCTCATAATACTCACTTGTAAGTATAAAGCAGACATCATCTCTTTTTCATTGCCTCTCAAGTCTTTCACGTGGAACGTTCTCTACATATACAAAAAAAAAACAAGAGTTTTGTTATTATGATTGTGTATTTGTGTTATATGGTGGATTTGAAGATAGATTGTTTATACATACCGCGAAGAAATCGGTTCTATATGCAGCCCAAAAGAACACAACAGTTATTAAAGCCATGTAGCTTCCAAAAACAACGCCGGTTGCGAAGATCTCTTTGAGTTTCAACCTAACTGGTGTAGGAGAAGGATTGGTGACTCTGTCCTTTGTGATAGTCATGATGGCTCCTGTGGAGTAATTATTAATAATGTTTATTATTGTTGGTCTTTTAGAGCAAATAGAGAAAGTTTTTAAAGAGTAAAAACTCACCATCGTTTAAGAATGCAATCGCCAAAACCATGAATGGTGAAAAGTCGAACTTCCATATTAAAGCGATGAACGTAAATCCGAACTGTAAAAAAAAGGCACAAAGAGAGATTATATAAACAGAGAGATTATTTGATGGTACTAAAGATTAAAGAAAACATTCAAGATTGATTAACTTACCACAACACGGATGGTTATTGAGACTGCATAAATCTGTTACATGATTACATCAGTAAACATCAGAACAAGTGAAAACGCTGTATAGTTTAAGAATAGCATGCACACTCACTGTGTAGTTTTTCATTTGTTGCAAAGTGGCTCGACTAGTTAGAACCGCGTTAATGATAACACTGAGTCCAGGCTCAGTCAGAATGATATCAGAAGCGGCCCGTGCAGCTTCAGTAGCATCCGCAAAAGCGATACCAATATCCGCTTTCTTTAATGCAGGAGTGTCATCCACTCCATCACCAATCATACCACAAATATGCCTCTCTTGCAACTTACTCACAATATCGTATTTGGGCTCTGAATATATTTGGTAAAGGAAAAAAGACAGTGTTACAGAGAGAGAGCAAGTATGTATTTCGGAACCGAGATATAAAAAACAAACCTGGGAAGACACAAGCAAAGCCATCAGCTTCGTCAATCAACTCATCAACAGGACGGTAAGAGATGATATCGTCTTTGTGGTTACCGAGCAATGATGTGATTGGGTACATGTTTGTTCCCATACCAAGTCTACGTCCCGTCTCTTTCGCAATATCAAGTTGATCACCTATAAAGCAAATGAAACGTAAGGAAGAAATCGAAGATAAAAGTCGGTGTTTTGCATATACACCAAAGTAGAGAAAGTAAAGATATAAACCGGTAATCATCTTCACGTTGACACCGAGGTCTAAAGCTCTTTTAATGGTTTCTGCACTATCATGTCTTGGAGGATCAAACAATGGCAATACACCAACAAATTCCCATGGATCACCAGAGCTTTCTTTTGTTTTCTCAGGTACATTCTGTAACAAAGAAACACAAAATTCACATAAAATCTTTTTGTCTTTTTTTCCTCTTCCTAAATTGGTACAAGATGTACTATTTTTCTCACCTGTCTTGCAACAGCTAATGACCTGAGTCCACACTCAGCGTACTTTTCGATTGCAGAGTGGACACTCTTCCTCAGATCAGCTCTTGCGTTGCAAAGATCAAGAACCTGAATTATTAATGAATCGATTTAACGGTTAATCGTTATAGAGAACAGTACTCGACTTAGAAGAAAAACAGAATCAGTTCTAGTTACCTTCTCTGGAGCTCCTTTGCTTACTCGATGCCAGTTTCCGTTAGCATCGATATAAGTTAAAGCGGTTCGCTTATCAACTGGATTGAATTGACAGAAGTGAACTTCTCTAATTCCAGCTTTTACCTGTCAAAGAAAAAATTCCTTTTTCTTCAAGAAAGAAAACAGAGGAAAACAGAGTTTTTTAAATTTCTTCTATATACCTCTTTTGGATCAGCAAGAGATCCAACCATAGCAGTATCAATAGCATCTTGATTCTCTGTTCTTGAAGCTCTCGCAGCTAAAAGCAAAACTTCTTCCTTCTCAACGCCTTTAGCATAAACCTCAATCAGATTCTTGTCAACACTAAGCTTGTTGAGAGTCAGAGTCCCGGTTTTATCGCTGCACAGAACATCCATACCGGCCATCTTTTCAATGGCGGTTATTCGTTTCATTATAGCTCCTTGTTGATACAACCTAAGGGAACCAATAGCCATTGTCACAGATAGAACAGTAGGCATTGCAAGGGGGATCCCACCAATCAAAAGAACCAAAACATTGTCGATTCCATCTCTGTAGTTTCTGCGCTGGATGGAGTACATCACAATGAGCTCAATCGATATACCGATGGCTATGGAGATTGTGCATAAGTTTCCTAATGCGATTACAAATTTCTTGAAATCTCCAACTTGATTTGTTCTACTGTCAACAAGATGCGCCGCTTTACTGAAAAGTGTGTGGACTCCAGTGGCGATCACAACCGCTTCAATCTCACCTTGCTTGCAGGTAGAACCGGAAAAAACTTCTTCTCCTGGAAATTTTGTGATGGGAAGGTATTCTCCGGTAAGAGCAGATTCATCAACTTTTAAAGCATCACCTTCGAGAAGACGTGCATCACAAGGAATGATATCACCAAGCTTGATGCTCACAATATCTCCAGGAACAAGAATTGAAGCTTCTTGCTCTGACCATTTTCCATCTCTCAAAACCTTCAAAAGAAAAAACAAAAAACCAAAATTATAGCCTCAAGATTGTATCAAACACTAATTGGTACATTGCCAATACCAACAAACAATCTAGACATATGTCTAGTAGCACAATGAAGCAAACAAGAGCTACAAAATATACATTTTGAAACCAATATGAAAACAAGTAGGGTGCTAAAATATCTACTCATCTCAGAGATAACATAACTAAACCACCTGCGTATACACTACCTATGAACGCGAACAAAACATCAGTCCATGTCGTATATCTAGTATAAAACAATGAAGCAAAGAGAAGAATATAGGGATCGAATACAAAGAGGACCTTTGTTTTGGGAGAAAGACCAGCCATAACAACAGCAACAGCACTTCCGGCATTGTCTTCTTCGAGATAGCAGAGTATTGTGTTGACTATCAAAAGACATACAATACCGATAAATACTGGCCAACCCGGTGGTCTTCCTTCGCCGTTAGCCAACACAATAGCTGTGAACGCAGCTGCTACTATGACCCAAGATAAAGGCTTAAACATTAAACTGAAGAACCTGAGCGTTATGTGTTCCTGTTGTTAATTGGAACCACCAAAATATAGTTAGTCACTTTACTTATCGTTTAAACCAAAAAAAAACACTTACATGGAAGTTTTAGTTTACCTTCTTCTCTATGAATTTGTTTGGTCCAAAGATATTGAGTCTTCTTTCTCCTTCTTCTCCAGATAAACCTTCTCTGCTGCATTGCAACTCCTTGAAAACTTCTTCAATTGGGATTTTCTCCTGCAATATAATATAATAAACATGATCTAATTATCTCGTGTACATTATTATTTTTCTAAACAAATTAATAACAACTAAGTATAACAACCAATGGAAATTCTTATAGCCAGAAGCTAAAAAAAACAGAATGTATAGAAACCCTAATTTAATCGAATCGTTAAGTAAAAAAAGAAAAAATAAACTTTTCTTACGTAAATTCATTAAACACTTTAAACAAAATAGATCAAAGTAACAAAAGAATTTACAGAGTAAAAAAGAAGAAATTTCATACCAGATCAAACTCGTTATTAATATCATCGACAGAACTACCACTCGCCATCTTTCTCTCTGCCTTGGTCAACCCAAAATAAAATTATGCACAAAACTGCGGAACTAAGTAACGATGATAATGACACGAACCAGATTTTTTCGGTAAAAGAAAAAAAAAAAAAAGCAATTGAATGTGAACTACGTTGGCTATTTGGTGTCTCTATTTATAACACAAAAATAGAGAGTTTTTTTTTTTAACTCTGTTTCCTTCACAAATCAGATTTGGATTCGGTTTAATCCACATCTGCAATTTCAATATACAGTAAAACATCAATAAATCAATATTAGATAAATTAATAACTTCTATAAATTAATAAATTCTTTCTTGGGACCAGTGTAAAAAATGACACAAATCGATAAATTAATAAGATAATAACTTTTTAAAAAATCCTATGTAAACATATTGTACAATCAATATCATAAATTAATAATTATATATACTTATCAATATTTATAAATATTATATGTAAAATATTTAATGAAATATGACTCTAATATTGTTTGTTTTTCTTAAATTTGTATTAAATATTGATAGATTTCAATTTTAATATTTTTACTACATCAAAAAAGTTTGTGTTATTATCTAAAACTAATAATTGCTTTTCTACTAATAATTTGTTTTAGAAAGATTTGATTATAAAGAAAAAAATTGCTTTTCAGATATAATGATTTTAAAAAATTATAAAATTAATAAAATCTCTTTATAAATTAATAATTTTCAGATATAATTTATCGATAAATTAATAATTCTATAAATTAATAGAATTTATCGGTTCTGACTTTATTAATTTATAGAGGTTTTACTGTATATCCATCATATACAAATGTGCTTCTTCCACATACTCTTTAACTCATTAACTCTCACGTAGTCTTTGTCTCCTCCGTCTTTCCACGTGCACATTACGTGGCAAGACAATCCCGTGCTTGGCTCGCCTACGCTGCTTCTGCTTGCTATCTTTATGAACACGGTGAAGTTGGTGGTAGTAGTGAGAGTCACTGTGGTCATGTTCAAGCATCATCTTCTGCATAACGTCGTTGTCTTGGCTATGATGATGTTTGTGTCTCTGGTGTGTTCGACGATGATGATTATGGGTTTTGACACCATGATGATGCTTGTGATGATGATGATGGCGGTTAGAGACGGTTTCTCTGGTGGGTAATAATCTCCTATGATGGTCTAAATCAAAATGATCTTCCCACCAGTCGTAGCATGGATCAAAGAGTCCCTTTTGGTGCAATAGCCAAAGAAGCAAACAAGCTGCAAACAAAACCATTAGTTCGAGGTATTCTGTTAGCGATTTTGTGGTTGCGATTGCGGGTTAGACGCTTACTGGTTGGGAAAAGAGCGAGGAGAAGGCCGAACATAACCATCCAGCTTAAGCAAACGTATTGAATGTGGCAGCTGAAGTCGAAGAAACTCGAGCATTTGTTTCTGCACATATTATTGATATTAGTTCACTTTTCAAGTTATTACTATTACTCAAAAGAAGTTAAGTTAGGAGAAGTGTGTTGTAACCTGCAAGTATCTCCGGTGATGAAATCGACTAAACCATTGATGATTTTCGTCCATAGTATCCTAATCGAATCAAAGAAACCTTTAGGATGAGTCTCGGGAATTTGAAATGGATTAGTAACCTGCATGATTGAAGATAATGGTCACTTAATAATCAACATCAACATTTATCAAGAACTGTTTGAATTCCATTTTAGAAGGAACCTGAGTTCCATTGTCGAGTACGGTAGCCGTTGTACTAAATTGACACTCGGCTCTGTCTACTTCGCTGAACTGAGAGTCCTTGAGTATAGCTACACACAAAGAAAACAGAGCATTTTTGATGCAAGGAATCAGGGAAAGTTAATAGAAGGTGAGTCTTTTATAAGTAATCACCTGTGCATATATACTTTGCAGCTTGATCTTTCGTCGGGTATAGCTTAAAAGATCGAGTAGTAACCGCTTTTGGTTTTATAATGAAGAATTGCTCCTGAAAACAACATCAGTTTGTAACATTCCTCTAAACGATGTTTCTTCTAAGAAGATTAACTGAGAGTTAGTTACCTCAACAAAAGCCACGCCTTTGGAGCAATCGAACTGCGCAGGAGGAAGCGAGATGCGATTAATATAAGGAGCAAATTTTTGTTCTCTATCAAACTATCAGATAAGATTCAGTTTTGAATATTACGGTTAAGCTATAAGATGCTTCTACTTCACCGGTATTCTTGATTGTGACTGCAGCAATTCCGAATTGTGTAAGCGCTTCGAATGTCGGTATAGCGATGTTTATGATCTTACCGGGGCTCCTGCAACCACAGAAAAGTTAATTACTCTACTTTATAATCATCATTTCCATAATGTTGAAGACGTTTTTACCTCTGGAAAACGTATTCAATATCATCAGCTCTTAGTTCTATCATTAGATTTGTGTTGAGTGTTTCCGTGACTCCAATGGAGAACGAGTGAGGCCCCGCGTTCTGTATCATTTAAGGGAAAATCCGATAAGCCGACAACAATCTCATGTTCAATTGATTCAGAAACTAGGACAGCTGGAACATAACTGGATGTTGATTAATCCTCTCAAATCTTCCTTCCAGTCCATATAAAGGAAGTTGGTGTCGGCTGATTCGGTTAATATCTGCCTGAAATAGACTTGTTATCGGTGAAACAATGACACGGTAAGGTGTTAGAAAGCTATAACATATAAGTATTAACCTCACGGAAGTTCCATAGTTGATTATGCAAGCAACTCCAATATGGTGAAGAGCAGAAATTTGGTTGGGTGTTGAAAGCTTCATAACCAACACCGATTTTATTACATTCTAAGCCATCCAATGTAAATCTCACTCTCTCAAGCAGCATCCACATTGAATAGTTTAAACCTAAACTCCCTGGTTGTCCCGCTGCAGCCGCCTTTTTCAACCGAAGATTCATTTAGCATTACAGCGGGGTGCAAGTTAAAAGAGTTCAAATGGATAAGCAGGTACCTCTCTTGGGATTACAAGATAAAAGTCCTCGAAAGAAGGAATACTTGTGTAACCACCAAAGTCTCCTATGAGATTAACCTTGAGAAAATTATCATTTGCAGTAGCTGTCCTATTTTCAGGACCAATGATCACTTCCTTCGATAAAAAAGAAGAGTCGTAAGGCCGAGTAATGCGGAACAAAACTAGCTTAAAAACCGAAGAAAAAAGGGGATTTAGTGAAGTAAACATACTGAAACTCTAGTTCCTGTTTTCAACTCAACTCGCACGCTAAATCCTAGTGACCGTTGTCCAATGCTGAAAACATGGAACCTACAAAGGAGAAATCAAACGACCAAATTCAACAAGAAGAGGATAAAGTATAGTTTTCATCTTGAAGATTGAAGCAGATGGTAAACATCATGTAAAGATCCGTACCAGTCACCTGGAAAACGAAGGCAATGCGCAGTATTTGCCTTGCCTTTTATCATCTTATCAACTAATCAAAGTCAAGAGAAGAAATGAGAGTCCAGATTAAGCTACAATATTCTTTAAAAGAAACTAAAGAAGGGAATGTTAAACCAAAAAACACATACAAATATCTCCACAAGATGAAGGCATTCTTCGCTGCGGTCCACATGGACAACAAATCGGCTGAGTCTGCTCCAAAACATTACCCTTCTCATCTCTCAACCTGTACAATTAGATTGGGAGGGTCAAATCTTTATACAAACAATCGCAAAGAAACATAGTAAATAGTTCAAAGAAAGAAACATAAGAAATTTAGACAAATCCTTGCCTCTCACATATTTGTACAATATCCGGTCCAGCATCGGGTTCACACTTTCGAGTCGTAACATGATACTCTTGAGGTTTATAAGGTACATCCTAAAACGTGTTTAAAAAGACATAATGAGTCAAAACTCAGATCAACCAAATAACTCTAGACTAAATTCATAACTAATATAAATTCATACCCTAATGTAAGTAAGATCATAAAGAGCATATGCTGCGGATTTATTCACTGTAATAACCGGTGGAATCCGTACGGTTTGCATATTACTACTCGAATTATCTTCAACCTCGACAATCTCCGCCACAATCGAAGCCTCTCCTCCACTCTTAATTCATCACAAAACCAAAATTGATGAAATTCAAATAGTATATATAGAGAACAAACAGATAAATGTGAATTTAGAGAAAAAAAAGTCTTACGGATCCACTGGGAACAGCGAGATTCAAGACGATCTTAGTAGAACAATTGAGATTACCAGAAGAATCTGATGTTTTCTCACACTTTTCGAGTTTTGATTTCGATAAAATCTGAATTCCGTCGACTTCGTTAAATACTCCGACGACAATTCCGGCGATTACACAAGCCAGCAAAATCGGGTTCACCATTTTTATCAGAAGTTTCTCTATCTCGGAGACGCGAATTGAAAATTGTGTTTTTTTTGAAGAACTGCTTCTTCGTTTTTTTCCAACGGTTACTTTGGTTGTTTAATCTTTAAAATCCATTGGGCTTAACCGGAAATTACAATTCAACCGAATTAAACCAATGCAATAACCGTTTTTGCAGGTTACAATGGAAATTAGTAAATTACGATAAAGCTTTTTGTTTCGCCATGGGCTTAGACACGTGCCAAGCCCAATAACTTTCTGTTCATTTATTTATGATAAAAACTTAGAATTTAAGGAGCATTGGAAATCCGACTAAGGTGGTGTTATTCAATGATGGATTTTAATAGAATTGAAATCCAACACTAATCCAGTGTTATTAACCTAATAATTCTAAATCTAACTCTAATAGATTTTAAAGTTTGGTGTTATTCAACTAAGATTTAAAATGCTTCATTAAAATCCAGTGTTATTCAAAACTAAAAGACTTGTAAAATCTTTGTATATCAAATCATTTGAAATGAAACATTTTTGGATTTCATGAGTAAATAATTAGAATCATAATCCTAGATATACTGCAGAGATTTTGAATTCCACACAAACAGATTGTTAAAAACAATATCAGAAATCAAATCTAAACCTTTAAGAATTGACTTTAACTCCATTAATGAATAACACCCCCTAAGAGATTTATGACTAAAAAATCAAAATGACTCAAATTTATTTCATAAATCTTTTATAACCATAACCGAAACAAACGAACATAAAGTAGTCGTGAAAAAATCTCAGTTTTTCATTCTGAATTTATTTCAAATTGAATGCGTATTTATTATTTTTTTCTAAGTCTGAATCGAAACAAAAACCATAACTCCCAAATTTTATTGTCTTTCCATTAAAAAAAGAAAAGAATCTGATTTGATACACAACCAAAGACAAAATTGGACTTTTGTATTAAAGCCAATGACTATATATAACGTATCTCTTGCACTATAAAGAAGAATTGGCATCTCCAATCTTTCTACCAAACAAAAAAATAATCCAGAAAATTAAATAATTATGAAAGTACAAGTGTTTATGTTTGTGACAGTTTTGATTTTTGTAGGTGTGTTTATAAGTAGCACTGATGCCATAAGGTATATTATATATCCTCCAGTGCATAAACATCCTAATGGTTGTGATCCAAGATTTCCAACTCCTGCATGTTATAAGCGCACACCAGAGAATCCATATAGACGAGGATGTTCGTGTATCAATCGATGCCGCCGTGAGAATTGTGGACCAAACAGAGTACCATCTTTGAAGAAATTTTTAGATAAAGTTTTGGAAATACCAGTGTAAACAAGATAAAATAAAAATGAAGAAAGTTATTAAGTATTTTATTTTGTTCACTTTAATATATCTCTGTAACAAATATTTATCACTAGAAAAAAAACAATGTTTTAGTTAAAAGTTAAAAAAGTGAATTTTAAAATCTTAAATAAGTTTCTTTTATTTGGCAAAGGTCAAATATTTCATATCAAATTTGTTGGAGCACAATATATTTTTTTTTATTTATTTTCATTTGCATAACTTTGTATCTTTATTATTTTCCAAAAATTCTTGCAGGACCACCAAACATTATAGTTCGTCCCCAATATTTATTTACATAGAAATAATTTTGTCTCACATAATCCCAACCAATATCAGATATGACCTCATTGGCACCAGCTACACCAATAATTTTCTGACTATCGGCATCTACTACCGAGACATCACGAGCATATGCATAAAGTTTCGGATCATCGTGCACAATTTTTAGTCCATTGCCCATTGGACTACTCTTTGAGTTTGGAATTGTGAATATTTCGCCACCCCAAAATACATCGTCTGCATTGTATGCTAAATCAGTGAAGATGCGAGACGGCCAAAAACCTATAGTTTTTTCTTTATCTCCTATGTTTAACCACCAGTTTCCATTTAGTGGATCCTTGAAATACAAAAAGAAAAATACAAGTTTAGAAATAAATAGTAAAAATATGATATTATATATATATATATATATAAAAACACTATTTTAATATTTTAACTTACTCTGAAAATGTAAAATCTAGCTTCGACCATATGTACTCCGGTCAATGAAACTTCGGGAAATGCATAATCGAGAGGAATATCGGTATTCACTATCACAAAACCGGGACAGTTCGTGTTGAAACAGTGTTGTTCACGTGTCTATACATTAAAAATATAATTTTAATTGATATCATTTAAATAAAGCAAAAATGATAGATGAAACATTTTTTGTAAGAACATTTTCCATTTTCGATAACAATTAGATACAAACATTAATTTATTTTATGTAAAGTTTTCACGTAAATAGTGGCAGCATTTCACAAATGCATAAAACAAAACGACAAAAAATATATATATAACCCCTTACATGCAAATATGCAAAAAACCGGCAACGATTATCTCCATATAGCGTCGGATTCACCTGTAAAAAGTAATTAAAAGGCCAAAAAAAAAACATTACGTATTAACTAGTATTAAACACATATATAGTATTAACCATTTCACAGCTATGAATATTATGTTATACCGTCCAACCAGCCTTGATGAAATCTGAACCGTTGGATACTTTTATCAAACCGGAAGAAAATTGAAGTTGGTTAACATATGGAGTTTGGTATAATGTGAAATGACCATCTGCTCCTCCTATGTGCTTCTTTATCCATTCTGGTCTGACTCTACCTCCTGCATACTAATTGAATACCACACTTGTAAAATTTAAATGTAACTCATAATATAATATGTACTATAAAGTATAATAAGATTTGGAGAATTTACTCACATGCAAACCCGGTTCGGAGTTGGTTTGAGGATGAATATTTGAGTCAAACATTCCATTGAATGTTTTTAGTCTTATAAGGTCTTCTTTTGTAGTTCTCCTAATTGGGACAGTGCCTCTTGGACAACCAATTCCTTTTAAAGTAACAGATTTTGTTTTCTTGTCACGACGTACTTCTTCAATTTCAACCTTTTCGGGTCTATTCACTTTGCTTGGTTTCATCTAGAAAATAAAAAAGAAATCGAGTTTTAATTTAAGAAAATAAAAATGAATACACAATTATTATGAAAGAAAAAAACATTACCTCTGGATGAAAATCATGGTTTTTTAAGAGAGCATGATCAAACGCTGGTTGTTTATAAAAATCTATACAATCGTAGATATGTCCATCTTCGGTCTGCAAAACAAATTCAACATTAATATATTCATTAAAAAATTAATAATGTAACAGATATATATTAAAAAAAATAAAACATTATACAAAATTTATTGAAAATAATTAGAAAAAAGCTCTACCTCGATTGTCTTAACAGGAGATTTATTCATAACTTTAAGTTGTCTCTCTAATTCCAAATCTTCTTCTTCAGACAACTCTTTAAATGCAGAATTTGCAACACAACTTGTTAGCACCAAAGCCACTAAAACAAAAAGCTTCATGCAAAACATTTTTCGACAATGAGCTTACTTTTCAATATTTCTGTTGGTTATTTTCTTCAAGTCTCACACACCCTTATATATGATTTATTCTGAGAGTTTGTAAGTTTTTTTTGGGATTCAAAAGACGTTTGAAAATTAGTAAACGCAATTATTAGGAAGTTTGTAATTTCCTTATGACCAAATCTTAAATTGTTGAATACGGAGGAATATGCTTTGGAATATTTAGTTTGGTTTCATAATATACTCGTGATACCATTTTTGATTTTACAAATGCATGTATGCTAATCAAATATTTTTGGGCTTTTTGATAAAAAAAATCGAAAAATGTTCTTCTTTTTTGGTGTTAATTTTTTTTTTTTGTTTGGTTTCATGAAATAAATGTTTTTTTTTGCAGAATATATTACACGTTTGTAGACAATATAACCGTTATGTTTTTAGATACTTTGCCAACTACAAGACATAGATATCATATTGAAAATATTACAGAAAACTTATGTAATTTATTTCAGAGTAAAACTGCTCTAATCATTAATTTGAGCTTACTTGTGAATCATTTTTGGCTCTAGAGATCAAATTAAGGATTGAATCAGATGGATCAATCCCTGAATCAATCATCTTCTCAACCAAACCCTCAGCTTCTTTCGATTTTCGTTCTTTACAAAGAACTTCAATCATATATCTATAGCTAGCAACATTTGGAGGCAACTCTTTCTCTTCCATCTCCCTGAACATCCTCAATGCTCTATAAGAACTACCTTCCTTGCAATACCCGAGAACCATTGTATTGTATATCACCTCGTTTGGTTCAAACTTCTTTTCGACCATCGACTTAAAAAGCCTCGATGCTTCATTCATTCGACCTTTGATGCAAAACCCGTGAATCAATACGCTATAGGTATGAACATCCGGGACTAATCCTAGTTCCTCCATTGATAATCGAAGCTGAATTGCTTTCTCCATGTTATCCATACGAGCAAATGTGTCGATAAGTATCGTGTATGTTACTTTGGACGGTTTAATCCCTCTCTCTTCCATCTCCTTAACCACCTTACCTGCTCCTGAAGTATCCCCTTTCTTACAGAACCCGGAAACTAGAATATTATACGTGACAAGAGACGGAGACAGACCTCTTGACTTCAAATCTCTGCATAAACTCAACGCCTTCCCCAATTTTCCCACACCACAAAACCCATCAATCAAAATGTTATACGTAATCAGATTCGGGTTGATTCCATCGCCTTTCATTTGATCCATAACCTTATTAGCTTCATTCGCCTTCATCTCTCTACATAACCCACCAATCAAAGTATTATAAGTAACAATATTACACGATACTCCTCTGTCACGCATTTCGTCGAACACTTTAAACGCATCTTTTGTTCTTCCATCTTTACAAAGCTGATTCATCACATAGTTATAAGTATAGAGATTAGGGAAAACACCATCTTCCTGCATCTTCTCGTACATACATCATCATTATTCTCAAGGTACTTTAGCTTGGACCTTACGCTAATCAATTTTTATTTGAGTGAGAGACTTAAAAGAAAGAAAAAACCATTACTTTGATAGGAATTGGTGGCGTGGGAGTGGGAGAAGGAAACTTTAACATAGCACCGCAGTTCAGGGCTAACGGTGGATGGCAAAGAAACTCATATAGTCAAGCCAATAGTCTGAATTATAACACTGCTAATGAGTTGTTTGGGATGCAAGGTATCCCACCATCGTCTCAAGTGGTTTACGAGCATTATAACATGCAAATGGATTTTACCGGTTCACAGTATCGTAATCAGATGAACCAAGATGAGATCCGAAAGATGCAAATCATAAGGGAGATAGGTCAGAGTCAAGCATATGCTGCAGTAGCTGATACACAAACTAACAATGTCCCAATGTGTCCTTCGGTTGGATCGTTTGCAGCAACATTGATTGAAGAAGAGGAGAGACAGTACAAGGACCAAACAAATGTTGATGGAAACTATCACATCAAAGAGTACCAGAAATTTCCATACATACGCAACAACAACTAGGAAGTGCTTCCTGGTATGGACGTAGAAGAAGATTGGTCAACATAATTATTAGGGTTTTGTTGATTTATGGATCAATTATGTATGATTTCATGACAAGTCTGTTTTCGGATCTACTATTTGGTTTATTTTGTTATTAGACCGGTTCACGTTATCGTTTCTTTATCTCTCTCTCACACACATACTTTTCTGCAAAATTTTGTACGTCCAAAATCTCCAAACCCTTTTTTAAGAACAAATCTCAATCCATGGCAATAATCGATCAAACTGAGAATCGCTAAAGCTTCATAATGTCATCAGATTCATCATCTCTACCTACTTACATCGGCAGATCAAATTCCGACGGAATCATCGACACAGATGCCTTTTTGTATCTTCTCATTCTTGGCTTCTCTCACTTGAAGTGCTGGAGAAACAAGTGGAGTTGCAGAGAAATGTGATAACATGAAGCTTTTGGAAGAGAAAGTTTGTAACTTGTATTGTAAGTTAGTGTTTTGCAACAATTTGAATTTTTTTTTTCCTTAAGAACTCCTTGCTTCTTAACCAATGGAGTAAAAATTTGTTATGATATTGTATAACTTTTCTTAACTTACAAATAGTGAAATTTTAATTTAACCATTGGAGATGGTCTAAGCAGTTTAACGATTAGTCTATTAGTGTTACGTTTTAATGCTGAGATCATCTCAAACAGGTTGATATTCCATTCTTAGTCAGCTTCTCATGTTGGTTTCTTCGATCCAGGTTCATAAACGTCTGGAGTTGACGTTGGAATTGGTGAAAAACAAGTAGAAATTAACAAGATTAAAGTAGGTCATAGATGATTCTTTTATATGTATATTATTAAGTGTCCCAATGCAGGAGACAGACGACGGATCTTCACTTTCTGGTTAGTACTACTAGTCCACTACTAAAGGAATATTTTCGATTCTATATTTGTATTATAGATTTTCCAGAGACTGGAAAACAACTAGAAGCTTATATATAAAGTCTCTTCTTTTCGACAAAATTCCAAAACATGTATTAAAAACATGTACTATACATGGCAAAACTATAACTCAAATATTTATAAATAATCATATACGTATTCTCTATAAACACTGTTTAGGGGCATTGTCAAACATATGTTGGTGCCATGCCTGGGCTGGAAAGATGGTGCAATGTCTAAAGAGTGTGGGAACAGAAAATCCTCTTATTCTGATCGATGAGATTGATAACGGGTCAGCTTGGGGATGTGATGAAAGAAAGCGCAGAGATTGCTCACACAGTCGCTAGATAAATAATGTTTGAGAAAGAACCAGAGAAGCTCTTTTTTGCGAATTCCAAGCTTCATTTACATGTTCCTCAAGGAGCCACACCAAAAGACGGTCCAAGTGCAGGCTGCACCATGATCACTTCGTTCCTATCACTTGCAATGAAGAAGCTTGTAAGTAACACACACTACAATTACTCTGTTTTATTTTTCGAGTTACCAATTACTTGTAATTTTAATACACAATATATCTAAGGAGAAGACTATAGCTGCAAAACGGAGTCAGATCAAAACAATAATATTCCCGAAGAGGCAAATCGGAGAGACTTTGAGGAGCTTGCGGAAAACATGAAAGAAGGGCTTGATGTTCACTTGGTGGATGAATATGAGAAGATATTCGATTTTGTAATACGTTTCTACTAATTATGATAATTTTATCTCTGTTTCTCTGAGTACAGAAATCAAAACCCTAATCATTAAACGTTTTGTTGTTAATAACAAACTCCTTTAATCTAAAGCCAAGATCTTCCATCGTCCACCTTCAGCTACCCTCCAAATCTTCGTTAGTACGTACATATGCGTATGTTGATAAATGAAAAAATAGGTCTATTGTTTGTTTGACAAAACCTTCAAGTAATCCAGTTTATTAAAAAGATGATAAATCTTCTTGTGGTAAGTACCATCGTAAGATTATCTTCAAGTAAGATTATATCATGATCATAATATCTAAAAGCAATAGTTCTCTCTGCAGCAAAAGTTTAGGGAAAGGATTGAGCCTAATAAGCTAAAAATCCCAAAACGTGTATTGCAAGTTATTGATGAAGAACTTACGAAATTGGAGGTGTTTAAGACCGGTAACGACTTTGCTATCGCCCGTAACTACCTTGAGTGGTTGACCGTATTTCCCTGGGGAAATTAAAGGTTTTGCTGATTTGATTCAATTCATATATCATGCTCATGTGCTTGAAAAAGTAGCATGAAAATTATTTGATTAATTTTGTTTGCAGTGGTGAGAATTGTCATGTCATGAGTGCAGAAAAGATTCTTGACAGGGATCATTATGGCTTATCTAATGTAAAAGAAAGAATAATAGAACACATTGCCGTTGAAAAACTTAGAGGCACTCCACAAGGTTGGTCTCTCTATATATTGTTATTACTATATGGATTGGTTTGTATTATTCAAGAATTTTATGTTAGTAGTTGCAATAGTTGTTTATAGTTTCCTTGGAACACACATCACTGGTGAAACGGTCGACGCCTTGTTGGAGCTTCTTGATCCAGAGTTGAATGCAAATTTTATGGATCACTATCTTGACGTTTCCATTGACCTATCAAATGTTTCTTTTCTTGATGAAAATTTTCTCATCCAAGTGTTTGGTTACAGGTTTTCTTTGTATGCACAACAAATGTGATAGACATGATTCCTAGTACTCCTCTGTTAAACAGAATGGAAGTGATTACTATTGTAGGGTATCACTTCGATGAGAAAATCCATATCGCTAGAGACTATTTGGAGAAAACCGTACGAAAAGATTGTGGCATTAAGCCTGAAGAGGTCTAACTCGCAAAAACAGATACCTTTCATTTTCTCATGTTTGAATGTGCTCATATATGCTATATGGATTTTTGCATGGTTTTTTTTTCGCTGTTACCAGGTTGATGTAAGCGATGCGGCTCTTCGTTTCTTGATAAAAAATTACTGCAGAGAAGTAGGAGTTAGGTCTCTCCAGAAGGAGAAGATTTACCGCAAGGTAACTTGCTACAAAAGTTAATGGAAGACTTGGAACGTTTTCCAAACTCCTAAGCTAAGTGACCTAATCTATACTCCATAGATTAACTATATGTTGCTAATTAGTATTGATATGCATAGAGTGCTCTTAAACTAGTACGAGAAGATACATCCGATACGACACATTGAAACGGCTAAAAAGGTTTCGATTGACAAAACGAACCTTGCAGATTATGTTGGCAACCCGATTTATTTCGAGACCAAAGTAAGAAAGATCTATGAGCAGATCCCGGTCGGGGTTGCAGTGGGCCTATCTTCTAAAGAAATAGGACGAAAGTAATTGAAGAAGAGAAAGGCAAAGGGCCTCAAAGTAATGACGGGTCAGCTTGGGAATGTGATGAAAGATGTCAAGAAACCTTCAATAGTATAGATCTGATTTCTTAAGTCTCAAGTATTACAAAGTGCAGCCTTATATATCGGCCAAGAACATAAGCATAATGTTCGACCTAATTCTCTGCTAACCGACATTAAAACATGTAAAGGGCTGAGCCCATATAGTATATAGCCCATTACCCCCCCTCAAGGTGGAGTGTGGAGGTTACAAACACCCAACTTGACAAGAAAATCTTCAAATTGTTGACGTCCCAATGCCTTTGTCATGATGTCTGCTAACTGACTCTTTGTATTGACGTGTTTTGTGGCGATGACACCACGAACAATCTCATCTCGTACGAAGTGAACATCACGACGAACATGTTTCGTTCGAGCATGGAACACCGGATTAGCAGCAAGCATAATCGCGGATAAACTGTCGGAGTGAAGAGTGATAGGAGCTGTAACCTCGATACCAAGCGTCGGCAGTAACTCACGTAACCATAGCAATTCACTAACGGTGTCAGCCATGGCCCGATATTCAGCTTCGGCTGAGGAACGAGAGACAACATCATGCTTACGTGTTTTCCAAGACAGTGGTGAGTCACCGAGTTGGATGAACCATCCCGTAAGAGAGCGGCTTGTGAGAGGACACGCGCCATGATCCGAATCACACCAAGCATTTAAGATCAAAGGCGTGTTAGCACGAAGTAAGATACCTTGACCCGGACTGTTCTTTAAATAACGTACCACGCGAAGAGCAGCATTCCAATGAGCATTTTGAGGAACATTCATGAATTGCGATAAGGTGTGAATGGCATAAGAAAGTTCTGGTCTCGTATTACCTAAGTAAATGAGACGACCAACAAGTCGACGGTAGCGTGTAGGATCCGAGAAATCATCATCTTTAGCAAGCGAGAGCTTGTGATCTTGCTCTAAGGGAAACGTAATAGGTTTGACTCCCATGAGACCGGTTTCTGCGATAATATCGAGAGCGTACTTGCGTTGACATAAATAAATCCCAGCGGGACTACGAGCCACTTCAATGCCCAAGAAGTAACGCAAGATACCTAAATTTTTCATGCGGAAACAAGAACTCAAGTAGTGTTTAAATTCATTGACAAGATGAATAGAGCTACCCGTGATGATGAGATCGTCAACATAAACCAACACATGAAGCCGAGAGTCTGCGTTTGCTAAGATGAATAAGGAATAGTCGGAGGTGTCTTGCTGAAAACCATAATCCTTCATAGCAGAACCGAGCTTAGCGAACCAGCAACGCGGAGCCTGTTTTAAACCGTAAAGCGACTTGCGAAGACGGCAAACTTTAGTATTATCATCCGTGCGAAATCCAGGTGGAAATTTCATGTAAACTTCCTCCTTAAGGTCACCATGTAAGAATGCGTTGTAAACATCCATTTGATGAACTTCCCAATCCAAAGACGCTGCTTGTTGTAGGAAAGCGCGAACCGTGATCATCTTGGCGACCGGTGCAAACGTTTCAGAATAATCAATTCCTTCTTTTTGATTATTACCAAGGACTACAAGGCGAGCTTTGTGACGTTCAAGAGTTCCATCAGAGTTAAATTTGAGTCGAAAAACCCATTTACAACCAATCGCCTTTTTACCTTGCGGAAGATCTTCGACAGTCCAAGTACCATTTTCTTCCAAAGCTTCAATCTCGTCTTTAACTGCATATCTCCAATTTTCATCTTGGACAGCCTCTTGATAAGTATTAGGCTCAACTCCTGAAGTAATAGCAAAAAGGTAAGCTTGATATTTTTCAGAAAATTGTGAGCTGGAGATAAAGTTATCAAGTGGATATGGTGTGGCCGACGGTGACGGCGTGTAGAGAAGTGACGTGACGTAGTCAGCTAGCCTCACCGGAGGCTGTTTCTTTCGATAACCAAAACCCAATTTCTCGGGTTCAGAGTCTTCATCAGTGGTAGAAGACGACGAAGTCGTTGTGTCAACAGTGGCTTCATCAATGGCGGGGATTGAATCAGTTGCAGGTTTTCCCGTATCTGTTGCAGGAGTCGGATTTGGTGAAACAGAGACATGTTCTTGTGTAGTTGTGAACGTGTCTGTTGGAGAGTTATGGGAGCTATGATCAGATTGCAGATTTTCTGGGAGAACCGGTGGTGAGGATGGCTCAGGCAGCTGATCGTGTATGGCTGCTGGAGAGCTGTCTGAATTTTCTGAAAATGTGTCAACGATATCTGAATCACAGAGACTGTTCGAAGATGGCGAAGGGTTATCGAGATCGATTGCATATGGGAAAACTGATTCGCGAAAAATGACATCACGAGAGACAGAAACAACTCCGGTTTCAAGGTTGTAGACCCGCCAACCCTTTTTACCAAATGGATACCCAAGAAAAACCGCTTTAGAACTACGAGGAGCAAATTTATCTCCACGGTGTTTTTGATTGTGAACATAGCATAAACAACCGAATACACGAATATGGTTCATTGGCGGTAGTCGATTATAGATGAGTTCGAATGGACTTTTACCACCAAGAATCTGAGTTGGAGTGCGGTTAATGAGATAGCCGGCTGTCAAGGCACAATAGCCCCAAAATTCAATGGGAAGATTAGCTTGAAACCGGAGAGCTCTAGCCACGTTTAAGATATGCCTATGCTTTCGTTCAACGCGTCCATTTTGTTGTGGAGTACCGACGCATGATGTTTCGTGTATTATCCCATGTTGATCAAAATAGTCTCTTAGGCAAATGAATTCAGATCCGTTATCGCTGCGAACCGTCTTTACTTGAGTCGAAAATTGGCGTTTGACAAGAGCTAGAAAATTCTTAAGTTGTGTAGGAGCCTCTTGTTTCGAAGTTAACAAGTATATCCAAACCGCTCTTGAATAATCATCAAGTATTGTAAGAAAATATCGAGAGCCACAAATCGAGGATGTGCGATACGGACCCCAAAGATCGCAATGTATAAGTTCAAAAGCAACACTCGTCTTATTATAACTTAAAGGAAACGACTCTCTTGTCTGTTTAGAACGAATACAAACGTCACATGTCGTAGAATCAAACTTAGTACTAAAATCCAAATGCTTAATCATATCTAGAGCCTTAGAGGAAGGATGTCCCAACCGAGAGTGCCATACTTCAGCAGATGATGAATGCACCGAATTGACAACTGCAGCTGCTTCCACTCCTCTTAAAAAATAAAGACCATTTTCTTGCTCACCCGCGCCAATCAGGGTCTTGGTGATGCGATCCTGGATAATACAAAGCCGATCAGTAATCTGAAAAACACAACCGCGTTCTCGAGTCAATTGCGAGACTGAGATGAGATGACACTTTAATCCATCAACGAAAAATACAGCTTGAAGACTCAAAGCTGAACCAAGTTTAACACGACCCTGTTTGGTACTTGTAGTGAAACGTCCGTCAGGTAATTTTATAAGAACAGGAGCCATATCGCGAACGTCAAACAGAAACTCAAGAGTGCCTGTCATGTGGTTAGATGCACCTGTATCAATAATCCATGACTCAATGAAAAACATACCCGAGTGATTATCGTTGGTCTGAAGTTTGCGTTTTGCAAGTGTTTGAACCAAAGAATCCCATTCTTCGTTACTTATACCAATTATTCCGACCCGGTCTGAGGAGCTCAAAGGAGAATTCTGTGTTGTGACAGCCGCATTGATTCCAAAGCTAGGTGTAGCATGTGAACCCGGAGCAGCGACGTGATTAATGTGAGCAGATGTGGAGCCTTTACCAGTTATTGATCCCACAGAAGTTGTTGTTGTTCCCCGACCACCATTGCCGGAGTTGGAGTTTCCTTTTGCTGAATTGTTCCCGGATTTGTTTCGAAAGTTTGAGTTTGATTTTGAATTCTCTCCCCACCAATCCGGATACCCAATTTTTCGAAAACAGTTTTCAGAGATGTGGCCAGTTCTTCCACATATGCTACACGAAACAGAGGGACCTCTGTTCTCAAAAAATTTTCGAGTCTGAACCACAAAACTCACTCCATCGGTGCGTTCTTCATTGTCTCGGCTCAGATTTTTCGATTCTTCATCCATGCTTAAAGCGTTGTATGCTTCTTCAAGACTTGGTAATGGAATCCGAGAGAGCAGATTGGATTTGACAGCTCCATACAAGGTTTCGTCTAGACCCATCAAGAACTGATGCAATTTGTCTTCTTCCCTCTCTTTTCTGACTTCTTCCATTGTTTTGGCCCGTTGATAATCAGCTAAGCTGCCCCAAAGTTGCGTAAGTTTGCCATAGTATGTCTCGATTGCAAGACCCTTTTGTCGACAGTTTGCTAATTCGGTCTTTAATCTTTGAACACGCTGTCCGTTCTTCACCCCGAAACGCTTCTGGACATGTGTCCATAGCTCGCTGGCATCGTTGATATGAGACAAGGAAGATGACAGACCCTCATCTATCGTGAGACGAATCCAGGAGATCACAAGTGCGTTGTTAGCGATCCAATCTTCAAAATCAGTGTCATCTTCCGGTGGTTGAGGTATAGTGCCGTCTACAAAACCGAATTTCTTGCGTGCCTTGAGAGCTAAACGCAGATTGTTCGCCCATTCATCGTAGTTAGGACCACGCAAGAGAGGCTTCGAGATCAAGGTGCCCGGATTGTCACTAGACGTCAAATCATATGGCGATATTCTCCGTCTTGTTTCAACACGAGGCTGAGTTACTACTTCTGTCAAGGCTGATGAGCTGGAGGACGCAGTAGCCATCGTTTAAGAAGTTTTCAACAGAAAGAGATTTGTTGAAAATTAGGTCAAGTGATTAAGAGATTTTAAGAATAAAAAAAAAAAACAGAGTGATCTTTTTAGCGGAATTTGAGATCACAGAATCGAGCAACAACCTTTTTGTAGTTAGGTTATGTCTCTGATACCATGTCAAGAAACCTTCAATAGTATAGATCTGATTTCTTAAGTCTCAAGTATTACAAAGTGCAGCCTTATATATCGGCCAAGAACATAAGCATAATGTTCGACCTAATTCTCTGCTAACCGACATTAAAACATGTAAAGGGCTGAGCCCATATAGTATATAGCCCATTAAAAGAAAGTGTGCAGACCGCTAGCACGGTTGCCAGAAGATTCTTGCTCAAGAAACAACCCGAGAACCCGTTCTTTTGCGGATTCCAAGCTTCATCTACATGTTACAGGTGCCAGTAAAAATGACTGTCCAAGCGGAGGCTGCACCATGATCACTTCCTTGCTATCACTTGCCATGAAGAAGCCTGTGAAGAAAGATCTTCCAATGACTGGACAAGTCACTCTAACCGGTAGAATTCTTCCAATTGGCGGCGTAAGTGGCACACTAGAATTTACTCCGTTTTTAGCTTTTTGGTTACAAATTTGTATTAAGTTCTTTCTAATACAACAAATCTCTCTGGTTCATGAAATCTGACTAATAGTTAATTTAATACCATACATTAGTTAAAAATAATAATGTCATACCCTGATAAGATGATATATCATACATTACCCATTTATTATCTGGACTTTGACGGGCCCTAATTGCACCTAAAGACAATAAAAACCCTAAACAGAATCTAAAATAATTGTAACCCAAAAAAACGTGCTATATATATTCTTTACGAGGCAAAAATCTGAATATGCAGTGGTAAAGAAAAGCTAAAGCAACAAAGAGAAAATAGAAAGGTATTTCCATGAAGAGATCACGAGAAGAATCTCAAGGTGGCCGCAATAACAGATTTGTTGATGAGGTATCGTCTTCTCTTCTCAATTCTCTTTGTTTTTCTGCATCGTACTCTGCTCTTTCCTCTCTGTTAGGGTTTTAGGGTTCTTTCTTCGTCATCTTCTTCTTCAACGTAGGATCTCTCTGATTGTTATTTCTCAGATATTGTTATATATGTTTTATCAGATATTTGGCTTTAATCTTAAAACCATAATCAAACTCAAACATATTCAGTTTCAAACATAAACATAAACATAGCCAATGAAACACAAATTATCCATAAAACAATCAAAAATCAATATCCATTTTTAATATAAAAATTAAATTTCTGATCAAATTCAACTAGATATTAATTATAAACATGAATAAATTATCAACTAAATAGGAAAAATACATGTCATGAGTACAGAATATCGACTTAAAAGTGACGATTGAAGAACAATTGTAAAGAGAAACAGAGAAGAGGAAGAAACTCAAAGGGAGAGAAAAATAAAAAGTGGTATAACGACAATATCAAAACAATTGTAGGGTTTTATGAATTAAAGTTCAATTTTTGTTTTAATGGTTAGACGCCACATAAATTTAGTTTAATTTCAGTTTTTAAAATGTTTTTTTTTTGTTTCATCTCATCATTTACGTTTATTCCCTCTATGTTTTTACTATAAGACATGTGTACAATTAGAAATCTTATTATATAAAGTATGGTTTTCAAAGTTAATAACTCGTAGGATCGTGCCACGTGTGAAGTTTATTAATAAGATATCAACACATGCATGTCAAATCTAATTATGTAATATATTTAAAAACAAAAATAGAAAATTTCTTAATCCCATCGAAAAAGGAAATATCAAAAAGAAACATTATTAGTTTTAAATAAGATACTACAATTACTGGTAATAATATTTTTTAAATAGGGATCCGTTCAAATATGTTTTTCGTATATTTTGTTGAATTGTTTTTTCTTTTTTGTTAAGATAACTATAAAATATAGATGTCAACAAAATACATAAAATGTTGAGATGCATATATAAAGATTGTCATGGAAAAACTCAGTAATATCAAAGATGAATGAGAATTAAGTATAGTCATGTTCGAGTAAGACATTTAAGACAAGTTCCTAATATCTAAAGTTTAACTCACATAATAGTAATAATTTAGTTTTAAAAAAAAAAATTAACTTACATGATTTAAGGGTATTTAGATAGAATAGATAAATTGAGATGAGAGTTAGAACATTAATATCAAAAAATGTGTGGATTTCTATTTAAAATTTAAATATCAGAAAAAATTAAAACAATAAGATGGAGTATGTAGAATTAAATATTTTAGCTCTTATCCATTAAGATGGAGTGTATAGAATTAAACAGTTATTATCATGAAATAAATAGTTAAATTATATTGCAAAATAGAATGTGTTATATTGAAATTTAGTTTAAAACTTAGATTTCAAATATATAAATAAATAAATATTATCAGTTTATTATTTATAATTCAAATATTATCAAAAACTTATATTTATTTTTCACACTCACTTGTTTAGGCGGGTCATATCTAGTATGTATATAAGTGTATGTTTATAAATTTTTTTTTTATAATGTTATAACTTATAATATTGAATCTGGTTATAACTTCACTCCTTGATTATTCCCCACATCCCACATCAATCTTGATTAGTCCATTGCTCTAATCCATCGTCTTCTTCTTCAACGAAATAAGGCTTTCTCGTCAAACCTCCATCTGTTTTTTGATTTCCTATAATTCTGATCTATTTTTGATTTTTTGTTTAATCTGGTTTGGTTTTATTTTCTGCAAATATTTGGTTTCAATATTTGGAATGCACAGTTATGATTTATTCTCAATGTTTTTTCAGGTCCCACGGCTAAACTTGCTTCTAACAACGACTCCAGAACTTATCAACAAGATTGAAACTTACCTCAATGGACACTATACATGTCCTCATCAACAAACAGAGAAGTGTCGTGGTGAGAAACTAAAAGCTATGAATTTTCCAATCTCCATGATCAAAATTGGAACATGGAACCCCGTTGCAGAAAACCCTGATGATATTGTGGCGAAATTCTATTTTGCAAAGAAGAAACTTATATGGGAGTTTCTCTTGGGAGAACCAGAAACTAACACTCCGAGGCTGAAGAGTAAGATCGAGATTCAATGGAATGATGTCTCATCTTTTGAAGAGAGTATTAATTTACGTGATGAAACTGGAATCCTCAAAATCGAGGTACTAAACATTCTTATACATTTTGCAAGTTATGAGCCTTGATTAATGACCTTTGAAATGTTTATGTGCAGTTGAGAAAACGTCCAACATTCTTCATCGAGACTAATCCACAGGCAGGGAAACACACTCAATGGAAACAGTTGGATCACGATTTCACCGACAATCAGGCTTCTACTTGCAGGTTTCCTACTTTAACTTGGATCATTTTTTTTGCTTTGAGTAACGTTTAAAGTGAATCAAAACCTTACATTTTCTTTATAACAGGAGACATACAATTCATTTTCCTCCCGGAGTTCTGCAAAAGAACTTGGAGAAGCTTCTGACTGATAGCTTCTGGTCCAAACTCTATAACGTCCCTTTCCCGGTAGAAGAATCTCTTTTCTTCGATATCGGCTTTGAAAAAAACAACTCATCTCACATCATCCACAGCCAGACAGTTGGCTTTCATGTCAACTATGGCCTTCAGCATCATCACTATTCTCAAGGTACTTTACTTTGGACCTTACGCTACTCATTTTTTATTTGAGTGAGAGACTTAAAAGAACGAAAAAACCGTTACTTTGATAGGAATTGGTGGCGTGGGAGTGGGAGAAGGAAACTTTAACATAGCACCGCAGTTCAGAGCTAACGGTGGATGGCAAAGAAACTCATATAGTCAAGCCAATAGTCTGAATTATAACACTGTTAATGAGTTGCCTCGGATGCAAGCTATTATCACACCATCGTCTCAGATGCAAATGGATTTCACCGATTCAATACAGTATCGTAATCAGATGAACCAAGACGAGATCCGAAAGATGCAAATTATAAGGGAGATAGTTCAGAGTCAAGCTTATGCTGCAGTAGCTGATACACAAACTAACAATGTCCCAATGTATCCTCCGTGTGGACCGTTTGTAGCAACATTGATTGAAGAAGAAGAGAGACAGAACAAGGACCAGACAAATGTTGATGGAAACTGTCAGATCAAAGAATACCCGAAAATTCCATACATACGCAGGAGCAACTGGGAAGTGCTTCCTGGTATGGACGACATAGAAGAAGATAGGTAAACATAATTATTAGGGTTTTGTGATGTATGGTTTCATAACAAGTCTGTTTTAGGAACTACTATTTGGTTTATTTTGTTATTAGGCTGGTTCACGTTATCGTTTTTTATCTCTCTCTCACACACATACACTTTTCTGCAAAATCTCCAAACCCTTTTTTAAGAACAAATCTCAATCCATGGCAATAATCGATCAAAATTGAGAATCGCTAAAGCTTCATAATGTCGTCATCATCAACGACGACGAACACAACCACAGAATCAGATTCATCATCTCTACCTACTCACATCGGTAGATCAAATTCCGACGGAATCATCGACACAACACCATTTCTTCCTCCCATCCACTACAAGAAATATGAGCTTCGGTAGCACTCCTTTGTAGCGCTAATTTACGAACTGCTACTAAAAGTTCCAAAATTGGATGGCAAGTATTTCGCAGCACTATATTAACGCTAGGATATAGTTTTCATTAAACGGGAACTTAACTCAGTATTATAACGGGGAAAGGTATTATTTTGGAGGCAAAAATTTTGGGTTTTTCTCCCCCAACCAAAAAAGTCTCGATTTCTCATCTTAACTTACCTCCAACAAAAAAGAAAAAAAAGCTTTCTCCAAAATTTCAATTCAATCTCAAAGTGTTTGATTCCATTGTGAAATCTGAATACCCATTATTGCATGAACTCTCGATTCCCATTAAAGAAATTTCGATTATCAACACCACAATCTCCATCGATTCTCCACTATCCGTCTCTGTATTTCTCCTTCTTTCTCTGCGGTTGTTTCTCAGATCCGCCACCGTCTCTCTCCTCCGTCGCCATATCTCTCCGCCGCTGCCGTCTCTCTCCGTCTCTATCTCTCTTCGACTCCGTCTCTGTATCTGTCTCAATAGCTCAGGCGATCTCAAGCTCATTAGCCTCGAACTCAGTAGCTTCTCTGTCTCAATAGATCCGTTTCTCTCCTTGTTTGTCTCAGTAGCTTCGAAACCAGCTGATCTCATCCACCTGAAAGGTATACGACATTCAATTGGGTAATTTTAGTTCTTGACTATTTACTAGTTCTTAATTTTAGTTATGAACTAATCAATCTTCTCAAAGATACTAATTTTTAGGAATTGATGTTTCTTTGTAAGTCATTGAAGTTCCCAATCTGATTTTGTGTCTGTAATATCTGGGTTTATAAATTTCAATGCTTCTACGAACCCAATGCTCGTTGCCACCATCCATGCCTTGCTCGTGGAACTCATCTCAAGCTGTTTGAACAATTCACAAGAAACTGCTTTGTTTTGATTTTGTTTTTAGCTTTGAAGTTTGTGGAATTTGCTAATGAAAGATAATGGGAATTAGCTGTTTATTACTTTACTCATGCTCTTGTTCTTATGTACGATATGATAATTGGTATTGTCGTTTTTGATATGGGAACATATTGTCTTTTTTCTTTTTTGATGTTAGTCAATAATTGAGTTTTCTAAGTTGCAACGTTTCATGAGTTGTGATGTTTCGGTCTGTGTTGTTTCACTCACGAGTCACTAAGTATGAAGAGACACAAGTCACTGTATTGTTGTGTCTATTTGTTTTCCATATATAAACCAAAGTTAGTCTTGATGTAAATAACAAGTGTCGGAGATATATAAAAGTTTCAGTTTTACTTCTTGTCTTGTTTAGAAAGAGAAGAGACAATGGTCTCTTACTCTGTTTCTTCCTCCTCTCAACAATATTATAACAAAACATTGTTCAATTGTTCATAAGTATGGGTGTTCGATTTTGATACATAAAGGTAAAATATATGTATGGGTGTTCGTTATTCTCAATGATTCAGTTTGTGTTTCATCTGTTTTTGTTGTTTTTGAAGTAATTGGGTTTTGGATTTTTGTTTGTTGATTTGAATCGTGTTTCTTTCTTATGTGAGCTTGGGTGTTCGACTTTCAATCAGTGTTTTCGATTGATTTTTTTGTCTGAGTTTAGACTCTATTTTTTCTGTATCTTGAGATAATGCTTAGTGTGAAAAAGTTTATTGCTCTCGTATATGCTAATTTGGTTTCCTAGCTCTTGTCTCTAGTCCTTACCGGTCGCTGCCACTGCTCTCATGATTATTGATGTCTCATGTTTCTTTTTCTGATGTGTAGTTGGATTTGTGGATCTGTAGTTGCCGCTCTGTAGCTGTTCAGTACAAGAACTACAAGGTATTTACGGCTTTGTAGCTGTTCAATTAAAGATGAGTTATGTTGTAATGATTCTGATAATCCATGTCGTTCTTTTGTTTGCAGAATCTTGATTCCTAATCTTCAAACTTCTTGTCCATTCCTACCTTGTTCTTTTACTTGTGTAAGATATTATTTCTTTACTTTTTGTTATACATTTTGTGTCTGATGTGAGTATTCGATACAAATGAGAACAGGTCCTTGCAAGTGATTCTTGCCTAAGAATGCTCTAGTTATTAACATTTTCCAGGATAGGATTTGTGTTGGTGATAATAGCTGGAAGCTAAACTAGTCTAACCTTTTTTTTGCTGTTTTAAGACCACAAGAAGGAGAAACTCTCTGGCAACTTGCACAGAACTTTGTGAAGCTTTTCTTGTGCTCAGATGTAAGTAAATAAGTAATATGACATCTCTCTTATAAACAACTTTGACCAATGGCCAATTAATTGATACCTCTCTTGTTGTTACTACTCTTTGTTTCTTTACTTTCTTTCTAGTGTGTTGATGCATGTGAGTTATTTGAGTGTGATCCTTTGAACTTATTATCACAAATTGTATAATTGGTGGTGTGGAGCTATGGTCGTATTGGTGTAATATTGACAAAGCATGTGTTAGGCTTCCAAGATAAGAATCTCATTGAGTATATGTTTATATTTTTTCTTCTGTTGTTCAGTTTCCTAACAGAATTGGACTAATTTGATTTTGGTTATTATGCAGAACGGTATGACAAATCACATATGCAAATGATAAGAGTACATATGTATATGCCTTTTTTACTGCAATCAGGTGGAGGGATGAGACCATAAAGCTATATAATCTTTGACAAAATTGAGATTAGTTTTAGCTTCTTTGCGTGAACTCATTCCATTTGTATCTGATTCAAGAGAGATAAAGAAGATAAAGCAACAAGTGAAGTGGTCTTGGAGCTGAGATCATTGGCACATTCGTCCTTGTATACACAGTCTTGTATACTCCGTCATTGTACAAAGCCACTTCTTAGTTCAGCATAGTAATTCAAGCGGTGTACTACTGTAAAAGAAAAAAAGTGTACTAAATGGTTAATTCCAACATGACCGATTCAAAAAAATTGAACGAAAAGAATCTCCATATATATATTTGAATCTTTTATACTATATGCAGGGATGAAGCAGAGACATGTAACTGGTTTTGGGTTTTCTTACAAGTGTAAACAAAGGAACGTACATCTTCATAAACTTGTCTCTTTAGATTTATACGAGAGTCAAATATACATGAAGAACGAGTCATGGTGAGGATTTGGATTCGTTGAATCGTCTTCACGTTTAGAGACAACAATAAATCAGACCTTAAGTGACCAGTAAGTAGTTACATGCCACAACTCCACCAAAAATCGTGTTTATACTTCTTAATACTTAAATTTTATAAAGATTACTTTTCTTAATGAAAATTGGTCAAAAACATTTTAAAATTATTTTACCTTTGTCTACAAGGTGGACTTTTTCAAATTTTGATTTTGTGGCGCAAATAAGAAAGAATGGCGCATTTCGTGGAACGATGATACAACACATTGCCGTTGAAAAACTCCACAATTGCTTGGTCTCTCTATATATTGTTTCTTAATTTTTATATAGAAAAATCATGCATGTCCTTTATGTCGTATATATTGTGTTCTATTAAGGGGATTCCTCGAACATTTTACTATGCCACGCCGGGAAAGATGGTGCAATGTCTAAAAAGTGTGGGAATTAACAGAGAATCCTGTTGTTTTGATTGATGAGATTGATAAGGTAATTACTATATGGATTGGTTTGTATTATATTCAAGAATTTTATGTTACTAGTTGCAATAGTTGTTTATAGTTTCCTCGGTTGTTTAGCTTGGAACACACATCACCGGTGAAACGGTCGACGCCTTGTTGGAGCTTCTTGATCCAGAGTTGAATGCAAATTTTATGGATCACTATCTTGACGTTTCCATTGACCTATCAAAGGTTTCTTTAATTTTCTTGATGAAAAATTTCTCATCTAATCCAAGTGTTTGGTTACAGGTTTTCTTTGTATGCACAACAAATGTGATAGTCTGATAGACATGATTCCTACTCCTCTGTTAAATAGAATGATTACTATTGCAGGGTATCACTTCGATGAGAAAATGCATATCACTAGAGACTATTTGGAGAAAACCGAACGAAAGGATTGTGGCATTAAGCCTGAAGAGGTCTAACTCGCAAAATCATTTTCTGATGTTTGAATGTGTTCATATATGCTATATGGATTTTTGCATGCTTTTTTTTTTCGCTGTTACCAGGTTGATGTAAGCGATGCGGCTCTTCGTTTCTTGATAAAAAATTACTGCAGAGAAGTAGGAGTTAGGTCTCTCCAGAAGCATATTGAGAAGATTTACCGCAAGGTAACTTGCTACAAAAGTTAATGGAACACTTGGAACGTTTTCCAAACTCCTAAGCTAAGTGACCTAATCTATATAATAAAAGAGACATGAGATAAACTATATGTTGCTAATTAGTATTGATATGCACAGAGTGCTCTTAAACTAGTACGAGAAGATACATCCGATACGACACATTGAAACGGCTAAAACGGTTTCGATTGACAAAACGAACCTTGCAGATTATGTTGGCAACCCGATTTATTTCGAGACCAAAGTAAGAAAGATCTATGAGCAGATCCCGGTCGGGGTTGCAGTGGGCCTATCGTCTAAAGAAATAGGGTACATAGAGACGAAAGTAATTGAAGAAGAGAAAGGCAAAGGCAGCCTCAAAGTAATGACGGGTCAGCTTGGGAATGTGATGAAAGAAAGTGTGCAGATCGCTAGCACGGTTGCCAGAAGATTCTTGCTCAAGAAACAACCCGAGAATCCGTTCTTTTGCGGATTCCAAGCTTCATCTACATGTTACAGGTGCCAGTAAAAATGACTGTCCAAGCGGAGGTTGCACCATGATCACTTCCTTGCTATCACTTGCCATGAAGAAGCCTGTGAAGAAAGATCTTGCAATGACTGGACAAGTCACTCTAACCGGTAGAATTCTTCCAATTGGCGGCGTAAGTGGCACACTAGAATTTACTCCGTTTTTAGCTTTTTGGTTACAAATTTGTATTAAGTTCTTTCTAATACAACAAATCTCTCTGGTTCATGAAATCTGACTAATAGTTAATTTAATACCATACATTAGTTAAAAATAATAATGTCATACCCTGATAAGATGATATATCATACATTACCCATTTATTATCTGGACTTTGACGGGCCCTAATTGCACCTAAAGACAATAAAAACCCTAAACAGAATCTAAAATAATTGTAACCCAAAAAAACGTGCTATATATATTCTTTACGAGGCAAAAATCTGAATATGCAGTGGTAAAGAAAAGCTAAAGCAACAAAGAGAAAATAGAAAGGTATTTCCATGAAGAGATCACGAGAAGAATCTCAAGGTGGCCGCAATAACAGATTTGTTGATGAGGTATCGTCTTCTCTTCTCAATTCTCTTTGTTTTTCTGCATCGTACTCTGCTCTTTCCTCTCTGTTAGGGTTTTAGGGTTCTTTCTTCGTCATCTTCTTCTTCAACGTAGGATCTCTCTGATTGTTATTTCTCAGATATTGTTATATATGTTTTATCAGATATTTGGCTTTAATCTTAAAACCATAATCAAACTCAAACATATTCAGTTTCAAACATAAACATAAACATAGCCAATGAAACACAAATTATCCATAAAACAATCAAAAATCAATATCCATTTTTAATATAAAAATTAAATTTCTGATCAAATTCAACTAGATATTAATTATAAACATGAATAAATTATCAACTAAATAGGAAAAATACATGTCATGAGTACAGAATATCGACTTAAAAGTGACGATTGAAGAACAATTGTAAAGAGAAACAGAGAAGAGGAAGAAACTCAAAGGGAGAGAAAAATAAAAAGTGGTATAACGACAATATCAAAACAATTGTAGGGTTTTATGAATTAAAGTTCAATTTTTGTTTTAATGGTTAGACGCCACATAAATTTAGTTTAATTTCAGTTTTTTAAATGTTTTTTTTTTTGTTTCATCTCATCATTTACGTTTATTCCCTCTATGTTTTTACTATAAGACATGTGTACAATTAGAAATCTTATTATATAAAGTATGGTTTTCAAAGTTAATAACTCATAGGATCGTGCCACGTGTGAAGTTTATTAATAAGATATCAACACATGTCAAATCTAATTATGTAATATATTTAAAAACAAAAATAGAAAATTTCTTAATCCCATCGAAAAAGGAAATATCAAAAAGAAACATTATTAGTTTTAAATAAGGATAACTACAATTACTGGTAATAATATTTTTTAAATAGGGATCCGTTCAAATATGTTTTTCGTATATTTTGTTGAATTGTTTTTTCTTTTTTGTTAAGATAACTATAAAATATAGATGTCAACAAAATACATAAAATGTTGAGATGCATATATAAAGATTGTCATGGAAAAACTCAGTAGTATCAAAGATGAATGAGAATTAAGTATAGTCATGTTCGAGTAAGACATTTAAGACAAGTTCCTAATATCTAAAGTTTAACTCACATAATAGTAATAATTTAGTTTTTTTAAAAAAAATTAACTTACATGATTTAAGGGTATTTAGATAGAATAGATAAATTGAGATGAGAGTTTGAACATTAATATCAAAAAATGTGTGGATTTCTATTTAAAATTTAAATATCAGGAAAAATTAAAACAATAAGATGGAGTATGTAGAATTAAATATTTTAGCTCTTATCCATTAAGATGGAGTGTATAGAATTAAACAGTTATTATCATGAAATAAATAGTTAAATTATATTGCAAAATAGAATGTGTTATATTGAAATTTAGTTTAAAACTTAGATTTCAAATATATAAATAAATAAATATTATCAGTTTATTATTTATAATTCAAATATTATCAAAAACTTATATTTATTTTTCACACTCACTTGTTTAGGCGGGCCATATCTAGTATGTATATAAGTGTATGTTTATAAATTTTTTTTTTATAATGTTATAACTTATAATATTGAATCTGGTTATAACTTCACTCCTTGATTATTCCCCACATCCCACATCAATCTTGATTAGTCCATTGCTCTAATCCATCGTCTTCTTCTTCAACTAAATAAGGCTTTCACGTCAAACCTCCATCTGTTTTTTGATTTCCTATAATTCTGATCTATTTTTGATTTTTTGTTTAATCTGGTTTGGTTTTATTTTCTGCAAATATTTGGCTTCAATATTTGGAATGCACAGTTATGATTTATTCTCAATGTTTTTCAGGTCCCACGGCTAAACTTGCTTCTAACAACGACTCCAGAACTTATCAACAAGATTGAAACTTACCTCAATGGACACTATACATGTCCTCATCAACAAACAGAGAAGTGTCGTGGTGAGAAACTAAAAGCTATGAATTTTCCAATCTCCATGATCAAAATTGGAACATGGAACCCCGTTGCAGAAAACCCTGATGATATTGTGGCGAAATTCTATTTTGCAAAGAAGAAACTTATATGGGAGTTTCTCTTGGGAGAACCAGAAACTAACACGCCGAGGCTGAAGAGTAAGATCGAGATTCAATGGAATGATGTCTCATCTTTTGAAGAGAGTATTAATTTACGTGATGAAACTGGAATCCTCAAAATCGAGGTACTAAACATTCTTATACATTTTGCAAGTTATGAGCATTGATTAATGACCTTTGAAATGTTTATGTGCAGTTGAGAAAACGTCCAACATTCTTCATCGAGACTAATCCACAGGCAGGGAAACACACTCAATGGAAACAGTTGGATCGCGATTTCACCGACAATCAGGCTTCTACTTGCAGGTTTCCTACTTTAACTTGGATCATTTTTTTTGCTTTGAGTAACGTTTAAAGTGAATCAAAACCTTACATTTTCTTTATAACAGGAGACATACAATTCATTTTCCTCCCGGAGTTCTGCAAAAGAACTTGGAGAAGCTTCTGACTGATAGCTTCTGGTCCAAACTCTATAACGTCCCTTTCCCGGTAGAAGAATCTCTTTTCTTCGATATCGGCTTTGAAAACAACAACTCATCTCACATCATCCACAGCCAGACAGTTGGCTTTCATGTCAACTATGGCCTTCAGCATCATCACTATTCTCAAGGTACTTTACTTTGGACCTTACGCTAATCATTTTTTATTTGAGTGAGAGACTTAAAAGAACGAAAAAACCGTTACTTTGATAGGAATTGGTGGCGTGGGAGTGGGAGAAGGAAACTTTAACATAGCACCGCAGTTCAGAGCTAACGGTGGATGGCAAAGAAACTCATATAGTCAAGCCAATAGTCTGAATTATAACACTGTTAATGAGTTGCCTCGGATGCAAGCTATTATCACACCATCGTCTCAGATGCAAATGGATTTCACCGATTCAATACAGTATCGTAATCAGATGAACCAAGACGAGATCCGAAAGATGCAAATTATAAGGGAGATAGTTCAGAGTCAAGCTTATGCTGCAGTAGCTGATACACAAACTAACAATGTCCCAATGTATCCTCCGTGTGGACCGTTTGTAGCAACATTGATTGAAGAAGAAGAGAGACAGAACAAGGACCAGACAAATGTTGATGGAAACTGTCAGATCAAAGAATACCCGAAAATTCCATACATACGCAGGAGCAACTGGGAAGTGCTTCCTGGTATGGACGACATAGAAGAAGATAGGTAAACATAATTATTAGGGTTTTGTGATGTATGGTTTCATAACAAGTCTGTTTTAGGAACTACTATTTGGTTTATTTTGTTATTAGGCTGGTTCACGTTATCGTTTTTTATCTCTCTCTCACACACACACTTTTCTGCAAAATCTCCAAACCCTTTTTTAAGAACAAATCTCAATCCATGGCAATAATCGATCAAAATTGAGAATCGCTAAAGCTTCATAATGTCGTCATCATCAACGACGACGAACACAACCACAGAATCAGATTCATCATCTCTACCTACTCACATCGGTAGATCAAATTCCGACGGAATCATCGACACAACACCATTTCTTCCTCCCATTATATACAACAATTTTTTTATAATATATACGTATTAATTAGTGTAATTTCCAGATCTCTATTAGCAGCTTCCAACTATTACATCGGAACTATAAAACAAGTCTGATTTGTTCAGATTGTTTTTTTAATGTGTATACTAGTTAGGCATTACGAACTATCGTTTTATTACCCATTAATCAAGTTTGAAATCTGTAGATAAATGCATATTTTCTGAAATTAAGAAAACCGTAACAAGAGTTAGAATTTTCTTTTTAAGAAAAATATCGAAATATATAAGACCTAGAAACCTTTCACTTTGATATCCATGTATAATATAAAATCGAACGTAATTGACCAGAAAAGGAACAAATGAAACGTAATTTTTTTACTTTTAAACTCATATTTTTGAATCTTTGTTTCATTAACTATTAAAATTAGGTTTGATTTAACGTTTGATCATGGCATATATAAAAGTACTTAACATATTCTATAGTAAAGATATTTGAGCCCAGCACAACATAATCTTGGTAAAAAAAAAATGTTAAAAATATATGGGGCAATTTTTTTTTTCTAGACCTTTATTTGGTTTTGAATGCAAAAGTAGACCATATATTCAATATTTGAGAAACGTGATCACTAAAGGTACTGAAATTACAGTTGACTCTCTTACATGGAAGCCACGTCGCTGGCGAAGAGGATAGAAACCATCACCATTAAAAGTGAAGACGAATTGAGATTGATAACTCATGGTTGGATTGAGAAACGAAGTAAAAACAAAAAAACTAAGAAACGAAGAAAGGAAAACGAGGCCGACCGACGCCAGAGAAGCCAGCGCCGGGCGGAAGCGAAGATCGGAGAAAAAAACGGGTGTTTGAAGAATCGCCTGGTTGATCGCTCTTGAGAGAGAAAACGGTTCTTTTATCGTGATTATTATTTAATTTCAAAAAACGGTTCTTTTATGCAATTTCAATAATATATTGGTGTTTTTATTTTATTTTTTTGTAATATTTTTTATTTATTTTGGTCATTTTTTTATTTAACTGCTACCGCACCCGCTAGTTTACCAGTCATAAACTCCCGCAAACGCATCCATTTTCAAACGCTAAACCAGTCGTTCAAAACGCTGGGTAACGCTTGAAGCCGCAACCGCCCGCTTCCGTAAACTCCCGCAACCGCAACCGCAACCGCTGCGTTTAAACCAGTCAGGCCCTTAGTAGCCACACATACCATGACAGCGTTAGCGCATTTTAGTAAAACACGACGTATCCCTGCTAAAATACGCTGTAAAGATTTAAAGGTGATAACTTTCACCGTTGTCTCGCCACCACTTGCTCGAATATTGACACCATTTCTCCAATTTTTTCCCCGAGAAAATTCCAAACAAATAGAATTTTGCCGTCTGAAATTCCTAAAACTATAAAACACAGCTTCCTTCCTTCCTCCTATATATATACTCAGCGGCGACGCCTGGATCATGATTCTTTCCGGCAACTGAAAGAGAAACAAAAATGGCTTCTTCTTCTCTCGAGATTGTTAAATTGTGTGGCTCTCCTGTTTAGATTGTATATTATTATTAATATACTAGAATAAACTAATTTAATTTTTTCATTCGTCATTTTTACAAATAAAAAGATAAAATTTGGCTCCGAGTTATCGAGGTCTCAGGGCTTGACTGGTTTAAACGCAGCGGTTGCGGTTGCGGTTGTGGGACTAGGGTCCCGAATGGCAACCCGATTCGGGTGTGATGTAATGGCCCTAATCGCATGTCACCATCGAATGGCAAAACGATTAGAGTGTGATGTGATTCAAGTGTGGTTAGCAAGCGATTAGGTTCTTGTAATTTACTCTTACTCTAATCGTTGCACAAACGGAATTTAAACCTACGATTAGGGTGCGGCAAGTGTGAGTTATAGGTATATTTACCAATATATCCTCAATTATTTTTATTATATCTAATTAACAAATTTTAATATGTAATAATTAAAAATATACAACAAATTTTCCGTTTTTGGCAGTAAAACATGAAATTCACATTTTTTTGGGAAAAAAAGAAATTCGCATTTTTTGCGGAAAAACACGGAATCACGTTTTTGGCGGAAAGACGTGGAATCACGTTTTTGGCGGGAAAACATGTTTTTGACGGGAAAACATGTTTTTGGCGGGAAAACCGGAAATAACGTTTTTGGCGAGAAAACGTGAAATTACGTTTTTTGGCGGGAAAAAAACGGGTGTTTGAAGAATAGCCTGGTTGATCGCTCACGGTTCTTTTATCGTGATTATTATTTAATTTCAAAAAACGGTATTTTATGCAATTTTCCTTTTGATTTTTTAGGAAAGTAAAACTAATTTTTTTTTTTTTTCCATCTTAGAATTTTCCTTTTCATGATAATATTTCTAAACTCTTATCGATTGAGATTACAAGATAAGAGTTGCGAATTCAAGTAGAGAGGAAATATAAGTAGTTAATACGGACGCTTTGGTATACAGTTTGTGTCTGGATCTTGTCACGAAAAGCCCTAGCGGTAGAAGGGAAATCAATGAAAGGAAGATTTGAGATTCGGGGATTGGAATTGACGAGGAAGGTGTGTGGGTTATTGTGGTTGCCAGATGCGGTGGCTATGAGCTGCCTGGCTCAATTGTCGAGATTGGATCTGGCTGCCGTAGCTATCGCCTCCAAGGAACACCGGAATCTGGTAGCGTCCCATGCTCTCGGACACTTGAGATGGCGGATGGGTTGCACGGAGCCATCTCTGTACGTATATTTGCACATGTTTCCAGATCCAAGCCCGCAGTGGTTCATCCTCCACCCCGTGCAACGTCGGCTGAAACGGGTCTTTTCGAGATTGTATCCGGCGCCGGAAGCAGGATCCTGTATCGTGGCGAGACATTGGGGAATCTATGTTATAGGTGGACTCGTGAACGGAAAACCCACTTCGGAAGTCACGTTTTTCGATTGTGTCAAGCACACAGTGAACCGATTTCCGCCCATGAAGATGGCTCGAAGCGGAGCATCGGCAAGCATGGCAAACGGGAAGATACACGTGTTTGGGGGATGCTGGGATGTCGCTGATTCCTCAAACTGGGCAGAGGTGTTCGATATCGAGACCAAGACTTGGGATTTCTTGTTTGTGTTTACGCCCAAGATGCCCCTCAACATCCAGTGGAGTGTGGTGACAGACAAGAAGGAGGTTTACGTGGTGGATGAGGATGGTGACAACTTGTCCCTTTCACCAGGTAAATGTGTGTTGGTGGCAACCGGGAAAACAGATTCTGAGCCACAGTACAGAACCGATTGGTGTTGCTTTGGGTCGTCATTCTTTTTCTGCGGTGATACCCGCGGGAGGATACTTTGGTGTTTGCCAGATGACTTGGATTGGAAGCAAGTCAAGGGTTTAGAAGAGCTCTCTGGTTATGATATCTGCAAACTCTGCTGCAACTCTGCTTGGAGGATTTTCATCTTCTGGAAAGCGCCGCTGACTTTGGAGCTTTGGTGTGCCGAGATTTCCCTGCTGAAACACACAAGACCCGAGGAATGCGAGCTTTGGGCCAAGATTGAGTGGTCCGGTGCTGTCCTCTCACATTCATGTGTTGGTCTTAACTTGTTATATGCTGGTTTTACCTATGTCTGAATATCCTTTGTCTAAACTATTTATTCATTTTAAATCACATATAAGTTGCTTTCTTTTGTGTGTGTGTGTGATTTATCTAATTTGCAATTACTCTTGTGCTCGTCAAGTATTGTATTGATATTTTGCTTCATCAGGCTCTGCTTCGCGTTAAACTGCCTCTTTCACTTAATCTTTTCATGCGACTATTTTGGGTTTTCCTTTTCTGCTCGCAAGTGTCGTCTAGTTCATCTTCTTGTCGATTAATATTTTTAAAGTCTATCTATGCTTTCAATTCTGTTTCTGGGTATTTAGAATGATGAATGCCTCTGTTAGAAATAATGAGGAAAAAAAACACAGTTCTAACCTCGACGGTCTTAACCGGTGGTTTATTTAAAAGCTTAAGTTGTCTCTCTAATTCCAAATCTTCTTCTTCAGATAACTCTCTAATTGCAGCAGGCTTCGCAACACAACTTGTTAACACCAAAGCCACTAAAACAAAAAGCTTCACCCAAAACATTTTTCGACAATGACTTTTCTTTTAAATATTTTGTTGGTTATTTTCTCCAAGTACTCACACATACCCATATATATATATGATTGATTATGAGGGTTTGTAAATTTTTGGGATTCAACAGGAGTTTAAAAATTAGTAAACGCAATTAATTCGAGATTATTAGGAAGTTTGTAATTTCTTTATGACCAAATCTTAAATTGTTAATAACGGAGGAATATGCTTCGGAATATTTAGTTTGGTTTCATAATACACTCGTGAATCGTGATACATTTTTTGTTTCTACAAATATATGCCAATACGAATTTTTTCTTTTGGTTTCATGAAATAAATGTTTTGGGAGAATATTTTATACGTTTGTAAGATATAACGGCTATGATTTATAGTTTGAAACTGACAAATTTTAGAAACTTTGCCAACAACATGATAAAGGGCTGGATTTTATATATTCAATATTTTATATATTCGAGTCGAGTTCGGTTCGGATTCGGTTTCTCTCCGGTCCGGTTCATTTCAAACTATCCGGAAATTTTTTTGTTTAAAAGTACTCGAAAATATCTAAAAAAAAAACCGATAAAAACCAACTCAAACTGCTTGAAAGTAGCCGAAAGTAATTGAAAATATTTGAATTACTCTAAAATCCCGAGAAAAAAACTACCCAAACTCTACAAAAATACTCGAAACTATATGAATTACCTGAAAAAATCCGGTAATAAAACTACCTAAACTCCCCTTAAACACTCAAAAATATATGAATTACCTATAATCTAGGATGTTTTTCAAGTACTACCAAAGTACCAAGGCACCATCCCCCATTTGGGTATTTTACACTTAACGGAATTCAGATCGGGTTTTTTGGTTCGGGTACGGGTTTAGATTTTGGGTTTCGAGTTTTTGCCCAGGCCTAATTATCTAAAGTTATCATATTGAAAATGTTGAAGGACAATTGCAATATCTAATGAAAAGAAAACTTATGTATAGAAGATAATTCAAACAATTTTCACACCAACTGTGTACATTAATTCAGATTAAAACTGCTCGCATCAATTATTTGAGCTACAGGTGAATCAGTTTTGGCTCTAGAGATCAAATTACAGATTGAATCAGATGGATCAATCCCTGAATCAATCATCTTCTCAACCAAATCTTCTGCTTCTTTCAATTTTCTTTCTTTACAAAGAACTCGAATCAAATAACTATAGCTAGCAACATTTGGAGCCAACTCTTTCTCTTCCATATCCCTGAACAACCTCAATGCTCTATACGAACTACCTTCCTTACAATACCCAAGAATCATTGTATTGTAAATCACCTCGTTTGGTTCTAACATCTTTTCGACCATCGACTTAAAAAGCCTCGACGCTTCATTCATTTGACCTTTGATACAAAACCCGTGAATCAGTACACTATATGTATGAACATCCGGGACTAATCCTAGTTCCTCCATTGAAGATCGAAGCTGAATTGCTGTCTCCATGTTATCTGAACGAGCAAATGTGTCGATAAGAATCGTGTATGTTACTTTCGACGGCTTAATCCCTCTCTCTTCCATCTCCTTAACCATCTTAGCTGCTCCTGAAGTATCTCCTTTTCTACAGAACCCGAAAACAAGAACATTATACGTAACCAAAGACGGAGACAAACCTCTTGACTTCAAATCTCTGCATAAACTCAACGCCTTCCCTAATTTACCCACACTACAAAACCCATCAATCAAAGTGTTATACGTAATCAGATTCGGGTTAATTCCATCGCCTTTCATTTGATCCATAACCTTATTCGCGTCATTCGCCTTCATCTCTCTACATAACCCACCAATCAAAGTATTATAAGTAACAATGTTACACGAAACTCCTCTCTCACGCATTTCGTCGAACACTTTAAACGCATCTTTTGTTCTCCCATCTTTACAAAACTGATTCATCACACAGTTATAAGTATACAGATTAGGTAAAACTCCATCGTCCTTCATCTTCTCGTACATCTCAAACCCTTGTTTCGTAATCCCATTTCTGAATAACCCATGAATCAAAACCGTATAAGTACGCTCATTAGCTACCAATCCAAACTTTTCCATTTCGAAAAACAAATCTTTCGCCTTTTCGATTTCTCCTTTCTTGCAACACCCATCAATCAAAATCGTATAGATAACAACATTTGGAGAAAACCCAAACTCTCTTAATTCAACAAGAAGATCAAAGCTTTTCTCAATCTCACCAGCTTCACAACAACCTTTAATCACAATCCCAAAGCTGTACACATCCAAATCAACTTTGCTTTTACTCTCGTTGAAGAAACTCCACCATTGATTGAAACAAGAGGACGAAGACCCAACAACGAAAGTTAATAGATTGTTGAAGCAATTCGATCCAGGAACTAAACCCTTATTGACCATTTCGTTGAAGTAAGAGATTGAGATTGAACATAGGTATTGATGATTACTTCGTAAAGTCGAAACTTGGTTTTTGATGTTTCTGATTCTGTTAAATAGTGTAATAGAGAGGATGAAGTGAAGAATTGGGAGTGGATTTTACCGGAGATTACTTGAAGAAGAAGTGATTGAGCGTGAGAGAATAAGTTTCCAGAGAGAAGGAGACGAAGAATGATTGAAATGGATTCGTGTGTGTGTTGAAATCCATGAAAATTTGTAGAATTTAAAAGAGAGAAAGCTTTTAACGGAGGAACCTTGATTAGATTCGCTAACAGAACGAGGGTTTTCTGGGATTTTGCCGCCATTGTAGATGATACGATTTAAACACGAAACATTGAGGCGTCGAAGAAGAAGAAGGAGAAGGAGAAGCCATATCTGAGCTTCATTAAAGCCCATATCGTAGTGGGCTGGATAAATGTAAGGCCCATGTTTTAATTAACGTCGGTACCTTTTATCCATTAGACATTGGTTCACCTACTCTACTGAACCAAAACGGTATGAAACAAGCGCCACTGTAGTTACCACATTAGTTAAAGAATGGCAAAACTGTTAATAAAGTCTAAACATCTCCAAAAAATATGCTTTTTCAATTTTTCCTCACGTTATCGTCTCTCTCTCTTTCACCTTTCTGCAAAATTTTTGTACGTCCAAAAAACTCCAAACCCTTTCTAAGAACAAATCGTAAATCCCTTTGTATGGCATTAATCAATCGAAATTGAGAATCATAAAAAACGTATACAATGTCATCATCAACAACGACAGAATCGGATTCAACATCTCTACCTTCTTCTCGCGTCGGTAGAGCAAATTCCGACGGAATCATCGACACTACACCATTTCTTCTTCCCACTGTTACAAGAACCATAAGCGTAGATGAAGAATCAAATCCAATTCATCGATCCGCTAGACGACAAGGTCTAAGAGAAGCAGCGAGGTTCCTCCGTCACGCTGGTAGCCGGAGAATGATGCGTGAACCATCGATGCTCGTTAGAGAAACCGCTGCTGAGCAATTGGAAGAGAGACAAAGTGATTGGGCGTATTCTAAACCTGTGGTGTTTCTTGACATTTTGTGGAATCTAGCTTTTGTTGCGATCGGTGTTGCTGTTTTGATTCTTAGCCGTGACGAGAAGCCTAATATGCCGTTGAGAGTTTGGGTTGTTGGTTATGGGATTCAGTGTTGGTTACATATGGCTTGTGTTTGTGTTGAGTATAGGCGGAGGAGAAGGCGACGTCACCGATCTTCGTCGGAGGATGGTGGTGGTCCTGGGTTTACGAATTCTTCGCAGCAGCAATATGTTTCGTTAGCGCAATTGGAGGATAGAGGAGAGACTAGGTACAGTATCTGATTTCGTTTTAACAATTCTGGTTCTTATTGGAGGATTAGATTGATCTGAAATCAGTGTTTCTAATTTAGAATTGGAAGAAGCTGGAGATGAAATTGTGTTCATTGTATATAGATTTGGAATGTGGAATCTAGGTTTTTAGGTTAATGTTAGTTGATGCTTATTGTATCTGTGAATCAATGGAACTTTTTGTGTGACTTTTTTCAGATTGGTGAATATTGATATCAAGCTTATGTTCTTGTAATGTTAGAAGTTCAAGCTTGATGTGGAACATTGTTGCAATTGATCTTGTTACAGAGTTAGATAGTTTAGGTTATTTTGATCCTTGTTTATTGTGTGTCTGAGTTTCCTGTCTCTGAAATATTCATTTGCTTCCATATCCACAATGTTGATGGTCTCAGTAATCCCGCGAAGCATCTAGAATCAGCAAACACAATGTTCTCATTCATCTGGTGGATAATTGGATTCTATTGGGTATCTGCAGGAGGCCAAACACTATCTGGTGACTCTCCTCAGCTCTATTGGTATGCTTCTTTTTTAGAGTCTCATTGAAGTTGTATCTTTGTGGGAGTTATTTAAACAACTTGTACTTTGATGTTTTTGACTTGCAGGCTGTGTATCATTTTTCTCGGTTTCGATGTTTTCTTTGTTGTGTTCTGTGTTGCACTGGCTTGTGTTATCGGCCTTGCTGTTTGCTGTTGTCTTCCATGTATAATTGCAATTCTATATGCTGTTGCCGACCAGGTAAGCTCTTTTCCCGTAACAAAATGTTCTTTCATCTACATAGAATTAGTAAATCCAGCTTCAAAGCATGATCTACATTTATTATCTTGTGATGTAAAAACAGGAGGGAGCATCGAAGAACGACATAGATCAAATGCCGAAATTCAGATTTACCAAAATTGGCAATGATGAAAAGCTCTCAGGCAAAGCACGGGGAATAATGACAGAATGTGGAACAGATTCACCTATTGAACGCTCACTTTCTCCAGAAGACGCGGTACACTCCCATTTCCACATTCTTATACAGTTGTACATTTTCAAAGTGTGTAGATTGATAACACATGGCTTCTTATGATTCTGAAGGAATGCTGCATTTGTCTCTGTGAATATGAAGATGGAGTTGAACTAAGAGAACTCCCTTGTAACCATCACTTTCATTGCGCTTGCATCGATAAATGGCTTCACATAAACTCTCGATGCCCGCTCTGCAAGTTTAACATCTTGAAGAACGCAAACGAAGTCTAGTAAAATCTTGTTCTGGTTCTATGATCAACCCAAACCATCCCACCAGAAATTTTCAGATATATGTAAACTCTGATTCGTGATTTAGTGTTGTGTAGTTAGAAAATCTAGTCCATATCTCTTTTTCCTGTGATTTTTTATTTTCTATTACAATGCTTATTGCTTAGTGAAAGTAGGAATTAATCCTTGGATTAGACCTGCTTTTTGATTTTATTTTTTCTTGGTGTGGAACGTGGAAACAACAAAGCTTTGTGTATGGTCATAAACAAAGAAAATGGTCACAGTTTAACGCCGTTAGTCGTCAAAACGACGTCGCTAACAAGAAATTAATTGTTCCGTTACGATTGAATAATTCAAAACATTTAAGGACTTGCCAAAAAGAGAGAGAAAAGTCAGATTCATGTCAGAATATGAAAAGGATCTTTGTAAGGTTATTTTGGTCTTTTCTGTGATCAGTCCTCGTGCTTTTTCCGCGCTTCCCCCAAAAACCCAAAGCTCCCACCTTCTTCCATGGAGAGGGGACAACAAAGTACACGCTGAAAAAAGCCTCTCTTCAGCTCCATTCTTCTTCCTCGATTTCAAAATTTAAGTTATAGGTCAAAGGCGATTTCACGCTCTTTGATTGGAACGGGATTGTTTGGAGGCGAAGATGAATTCTATGTTGCAGCGTTACCGGAACGATCGCCGCAAGCTCATGGAGTTTCTTATGTCGTCGGGTTTGGTAAAGGAGCTTCGTTCCCCTTCTGGTTCTTCTACTTCTCTTTCTCCCGCTGATTTGGATGCTCTCAGCGCCGATTATGTTTTGGATTGCGTGAAATCCGGTGAGTTTACGCTGACAAAAAGAACCCTTAGTTAGTATCAGTATCTATCTCTGAGTTTGCACTACTGTTTAATGGATTTATCAGCTTTTCCAACACTAGTTCATAGATTTGTGGATTCTTTTTCGTCTGATTTCTTAATTTTGTTGAGGATTAAAGGATTCTTCACAGTTAGGGTAATGAGAAAAATTGGCTCTCTGCTTGGTTGTTTCGATTTGCCAATCTATCAGAAGAATCTGTTATCTATCTATTATTACTATTGCTGAATCACTCCATTTTGTGAACACGAACGCAGGTGGTGTAGTTGATGTATCCAAGGGCACAGAGAAATACAATTTTGAGTCATCATACCCTGTAACAGTAAGGATCCGTGTTTGTTGGTTTCTTTAAATGCATAACTGAGCTAAGAAAATTTGTTGTCTGAATGGCATCTGTGTTTAAGTTTGATACAGTTAAAGCTTTTCTTGATTGTGTTTTTGACTCGATGGGAATTATAGCTTGAGTAAACACTTTCAGATTGTAATATTAGTGTAAAGTCTCCAGTTTTGACAATTGGAAGTCAAATTTTTTGCAATACATCCTCCTTACAAATGTAGCTTTTGTTTTAGACGTAAACACTAATACCTTTATTGATAAAAACCCCTGAAGATGATTAGTTTTGATGATTTGAATTTGCAGATACACTCTGAGTCTAGAGATTCCTTTTTTCTTGTATCGAGTCCAGATATAGCAGGTTCTCCTCCTCATCGTATGCCTCCTCCTCCAGTTAACATGGAAAAATCCAGTAACAATGGCCCAGACATGTCATGCCACATAGATTCTTCTAATACTTCTTCATCTAGAGACAACTATGTATTTAAAGAGGAAACACCTGACATCAAACCCGTGAAACCTATCAAAATCATTCCTCTTGGCTTGCCACCCTTGAGAACAGGTATTTAGTTAGGCAATTGTTTTCTGAATTTTCTGTCCTAGATTACTATTTTTGTCTTCGTGAATCTTGATTATTTTGGTTTACCATCTTTCGAGTGAACTGATACATGATGTTAGGGATTTTGAAGGGTTATCGGATGATGATTTACGAGAAGCAGCATATGAATTAATGATTGCTTCTATGTTGCTTTCAAGGTACTCACTCTCTTTTCTCCTTCATAAATGTGTATTCTGTGTTGTTTATGATGCAGCCTTGCAGTCTTTTTCCGGATATATCTGTGTGGTGTCTCTCATATTCTTAGTTTCTTACGGGTTCTTACAAACAGTGTTGAGGCGTATCCTACTCAGAGAAGAAAAATAGAAAAAAGCTCAAGACTAATGTTAAGTTTGAAAAGAAAAGATAAACCACATCTACAGCCTCAGATCTCTAATACACACTCAGAGGTCATCAACATGATCCGTGTCCAGATGCAGGCAAGCTTCAAAATTATTAGTTATGATTCGTCCAAAGAAACCACTAGTTATCTAACATAGAAGGAGAAGAGAAAGGTCTTCTGGTTATACTATTAGCTAGCATTTTGTTAAAACCAAAAGAATTAGCAGTTCTATATTTCAACTTAACTTCATTTGCATCACTTGTGTTAATCTTACTGTTTCTACTTTTTAGATTTCATCAAAGATGGATACATGCATACGGAGAAATCTGGTACAGTTGGCTACATTAAGGACAGGTGAACAAATTGATCTTCCACAGTTAGCATTGGGGCTTTTGGTTGGAATATTCAAATCAGATTTTCCTAATGAAAAACTCTACATGAAGTGGAAGACTAGACAGGTTAATGAGCTACAGTATTGTTTTTTCTTATTGCCCTTATGCAACTCTTTGAACCATTTCTTGGGTTCATGGTTTGACGTAGATTATATGATAGTATCATGCAAGTCTGGATGAGAAAAAGATGGGATTGATTGGCACATAGGCGTATAGGCATAGCTTTTGTACCAAAGCTTAAGTTAAAACATAACCTGCTTTATTACGCACCTGCAGCTTTTGTGATTTTGGTTGGCTTGCAAATTTTGTTTACTTCTGCAGCATCCTGCTGTCCTTAAACATGTTGACATGCATATTTAAAATATGTGAAATGCAACGAAAATGTGCTCGACTTTATTGTTACAACCATTGAATTAGGTGTCTTTTTCTATCGTCAATGTAGGCTAACCTACTTGAAGAAGTCCTCTGTTTCTCACCTAGTCTGGAGAAAAATGAACGAGCAACTATGAGAAAATGCCTTGCAACGATTAGAGACTCAAAGGTGATCCGGATGCTTCGTAGCCAGCAAGTTCTCATCTAGTGATATGACTTAACAGACTTCTCTTTCTTGAATCTAAACTATTTTTGGCTGGCATAGGAATGGGATGTTGTAGTGTCTGCTTCGCTACGGATTGAGGTTCTATCGTCTATAAAGCAGGTCGCTTCAAAGTTGTCATCACTACCAGGCCGTTGTGGTATTGAAGAAGAAACTTATTACTGGACTGCTATCTACCATTTGAACATTAGACTCTATGAGAAATTATTATTTGGTGTATTTGATACTCTTGATGAGGGTCAAGTCATAGAGGTAGATTTTCATAGTCCTTGTTTTTCTTCTTATCATTTGTGTCATGCATATTTTTCCCTGACGTCATACACATATCAGGATGCCTCATCAATGCTTTTCCATATGAAATCAATTTGGTCGACATTGGGCATAACTGAGAATCTACATAATGCAATATATGGATGGGTTCTTTTTCAACAGGTACGTCTTATCACTTATTCTTCAGAAATCTGCTTTATCTAACTGATCACTATGTGCAAAAAGCTGGCTTGTTAGAGATCTATGTACCATTGAGTACACATAACATATCACCAATAAAGTCAGTCTGTTTCGTGTTAAAATTCAGAGGTCTAAATACTCAATCACACTAGCGCACATACCCACACATATATATATGTATAGAATAATCTTGTTTAAGGAAGCTAAAATTTAGGGCTCCTAAACTCACAGTTGGATAAAACAGGCTTAAGCTCTAACCCTTGCTACTACGCAATAGTTTAAGTACAATGCCAGGTTGAGTTTTCTTATATGTTGTCTGATCCTCACTGCACGATGCATGTATGTTGCATATATAATTTGTCCCAGACAAGAGTTTAACGTAGCCATCACATGTGCTCCTTTCCTGGGAAGTTTGTGTGCACAGGTGAACCATCTCTTCTAGGGAGCGCAATTCAGGAGTTGCAGAAAGTTACTTCCGCTGAAAGTGGCAACTCGAAGGAAGATTTTTATTTAAGTCATCTAGTATGTTCAAGGCAAACCATTGGAACTGACATACACTTAGGTCTCGTGAAGGCTATTTTCACTTCAGTTAGTGCTTGGTGTGATGATAAACTTCAGGACTACCATCTACACTTTGGTAAGGTCAGTTCCCAGATCTATGATAATGACCTTATAATTACTTAATTCTGCATATTCTTTTCAAAATTCCTGGCCAAAGTTCTTATATGGTTTTCTTGGTAGCATATCCTTGTGCCGTAAATTGTTCCTTTTTTTTTTCTAGTAACCAAGATCATGGGATTTTTGCTACTTCCTAACTGCTCAAATGATATACTTATTTCATTTCTGTTGTAAATTTCTCGAATCTGTTTTTGCAACTCCATCAGGACATAATAAGCATCGTTTCTTTAAATAATTTTTTTTATCTTCTATGTCTCCTCAGAAACCTCGTGATTTTGGAATGCTTGTCAAATTGGCATCAACAGTTGGACTTCCTCCAGCTGACAGTACCAGAACTGAGGTTGGTGTTTCTGATCTTCGCTAAATCGTTATTTTCCATTTAGCAACAAACTTTTCTTTTGCCTTCTCCTATTTATATGTTAATATTTTATATTTGTTGACTTATGAATATCAGTTTAATTTAACATTCTTGGGAAAACGCTTCATCCCAAAATTCTCCTCATGAGACCCCCTACTAGCAGTTTCAAACAAGCTTTTTCATTTTGATCATTTGCATAACTTTAATGTGCTTTTCCGCAGTACAAGATATTTTTCTGGCATGACTATGTTTTATGTATATAGTGTTTGGCTGTTATTAGAAAAGTTCCTAGTTGGATATAAAGAAAGGAACTGCATATAATTATCTAATGTGAGCTTTCGATATGGAGGAATACTGGGTGATCTTCGATGATAGATATCGTTTTTCTCTTGCAGCTTATCAAGCTGGATACCTTGGGTGATGATGTTAGTGATAAGATACAATCCTATGTTCAGAACTCTATCAAAGGTGCATGTGCCAGGGTGAGTTTGTCTTGGTTACTTGTATTGCTATACTATATAAGCCACTTCTTTTATCGCTCTACCATATGATGTAAAGATATACTTAAATTCGATATTTTATCCTCCTAGGCTGCACATTTTGCTTACGTGAAATCTCATGGTGAGCGTACGCATGCTCTAGCTCTGCTTGCAAATGAACTGAGCGTCATCGCAAAAGCAGAAATCAATGAGTTTGTCCCAGTATTCTCCAAATGGTTACCCGAATGTATGATGATCTCGGCCATGCTGCTACATCGGTTTTATGGAGAAAGACTGGTTTGTCCCTAAGCATTTTCAATACTTAAAGAAATTTTTTGTCACTGGTATCTATATTTACAATTGATCTTGTTCTACTGGAGCAGACGCCTTTCCTTGAAGGAGTTTCATCCCTCTCTGGTGATGTTAGAAAAGTAGTCCCTGCTTCTTATATTTTACAGGAAGAGTTAACTCAACTGTATAATTGCCATAGCAAATCCAAGTTGCGCAAACCTTACCTTCACAAGTTGAAGAATTACGAGGTCATTGAATAGATAGTTCTTATATGGATTGGATTTCAGAAAAAAATTATATCACTTCTCAGTTTTATGGTTTCCTAATTCAATTTAACATGTCAACTAAGTCATATAAGAGACTATCCATTTGTTTGAATGCAGATAGAAAAGGTTGTCAAACCAGTAATGCTGGACTGGCTTATATCTCAACATGATCATATCTTACAATGGACTAGGCGAGCTTTTGAAATTGAGGTTATATATATATTCTTGGCAAAATATTCACATGTTGATTGCTGTTGAAAGTAGATAGACATTAAATTTCGGCCATAAGGGGAACTTATTTTGATGGATCACTTTAAAACTCGTGTGATCCGTATTGACAAATCTTTGAAGCACACAAAAAGTTGTATCCTATATAGTTTGACCTTCCATCACTTTTCACAATCAAACAAATCCAAACTATGATGCATGAAAGTTTATTGTCCAAAGGATCGAACAAGAATTTAATTATATTGCCTTTTTATGAGCAGGAGTGGGAGCCTCTATCAGTTCAGCAAAGACATGCTGCATCAATCGTTGAAATATTCAGGATCATAGAAGAGGTATATAATTTCATGACACCATTATGCCAAATAGTGTGCAAACTGTAGGAGCTTAATAGCAGGCTTAGAAATAATAAACGGGTTCAGTATGCACAAACTTTTGTCTTCAGTTTCGGTTGCCTCTGAATTTTGATGTTAGTTTTTTTTGTAAGTTCTTACTTTACTTCTAGTATGATACTTCCACCTTTGCTTTTTAGTGTTGCACACAATTTATGCCGTCTTACTTTCTCATTGCACTTGCTCTGCAGACTGTGTCTCAGTTATTTGGTTTGCATCTACCTGTTGATATCACACATCTCCAAGCTCTTCTCTCATTAATTTACCATAGCTTGGATACTTATCTTCAGAGAGTTTTCGATCAACTAGGTATTGACCAACTCTTTATCTTTTTAACAGTTGCTACAGAGTCGTGTTCTTGCATAACCATGGAATTTGCTATATAAAATTATTTTCTCTTATGTCAATATCCAGAGACACATGCTTGAGCAGGCTTATATGTGTCTGGTAGTTTGCATGCAACATGCATGTTTTATTGTTGTGTTTCTTTGTATGGGATAGATTTACATTATAGTCTATTAGTATATATAGAATCGCTTGTCCAAATCCAAAGGTGAAATGAAAACATTTTTGAATACTTATTTAAATTAAGCGACTTTTCAGAAGCATACTGTAATATATTAACAATACGCCTCTATCCGCAGTTGACAAGAAGTTTCTGTATCCGTCAGCTCCTCCTTTAACTCGATTCACAGAAAATGTAATGCCAGTAATGAAGAGGAAGTCGCTCGAGTTTAGTGAGCCAGATAATAAAATAGTTAAGAAATTGGATGAACTGACAATACCGAAACTCTGCATAATATTGAATACACTCTGTGTAAGTGTGTTCTTCCAAGCTAAACCTTCATATATTCCTATTAAAACTAAACAATAGCTTCTTCTTTTTTTAATCTATTTTTGTGTCCATGGATCAGTATATCCAGAAACAAATCAGTGCAACAGAAGTAGGCATAAGGAAATCTTTGACACTTGTTGAAGCCTCTCTCAACAAGAGATCAGGTACGCTCATTCACTTGAGATTATACGTTTTTCTCTTCATTTTTGGTGGTTTTCTAGTATTGGGTGTGCATTGCATGATTTTACTTTCAGAAATCGAGACTGATGAAGTTGAAGTGGAGAATTCTTTGACGCATAGTGAAGCTGTTGATGAGCTCTTTGCTACCACCTATGACAGCCTCAGGGACACCAATGCCAATTGCATAACCAAAACCCGTGACCTAATTGGTAAGCTAATACAAAGTCTCGTGTTCATCTGCAGCACTTTAAATTTGAGAGAACTGAAAAATCTGTCGAAACTTGAACCAGTTCTCTGCAAGCTAAATAAGTGTCGAGATTCAAATTTTCTGATTGCATAATCTTCTTATCCACAAACAAGATGGATTAGCATTTTAATACTATTTGAAGACGTACATAAGATGCATTAGCAAATTTTCTGTCGTTATCTGAGATACTTGTGAATAAGCCATACATATTATTCATGTTTCAGTTCTTTTGGCAAAAGTACGCATTCCTCTTTAATTTGTTAATCCTCATGGATGAGTGAGAATATTGGATGGATTGTGTTACTCTAAAGACTTTTGTGTTATCAAGGACAAACAAGTCGGTTTAGCTCTGTTTTCTGTATTTATTGTTGCTTTTTGTCAGGGGCAAGAGCGATTTTCTGGGATCTGAGAGACATGTTCCTAATACAGTTGTACAATGGCACAGTCGAAGGCGCCCGTCTGGAAAGAATACTCCCTCACATTGATTCTGTAAACCAAAATCATCTCTTTCTCCGATTGACCCCGTGTTCTACTAAGCATTAACTTACACTAAGAAATGCAATGCACAGGTCCTTGATACTGTATGCAGTTTGAGTTATGAGGACTCACGGGATATGGTGGTTTTAAGCATCTGCCGATCCGCTCTGGTAACACCTCTTTTCCCTTTTGCATATATAAACAAGTTAACTAACTCCAACCTCTTTTGTACCCACCAAAATTATATGCTTCTCTCACATAGGAAGCTTATGTTCGAGTGCTACTTGATGGAGGGCCAACCCGTGCATTTTCGGATTCAGACATCACCTTGATGGAAGAGGATCTCGGTATTTTGAAAGTAAGTAACTTATATTTTTATTTTGGAATTCAATACTATTATGCTGGAATTAGATATTCAATTAGTTTCAGATAAAGACAACATTAAAAAAACTAGAAACAAGATTATACTACTTTGATTTTGAGGTTCGGCCACTTTGCTTATGAGAACCTGGTCCTTGATCCATGGATAAGGCAGTTCCAATATATGCACTTAACCTCTGGCGTGCGTCCCTTCTTAGGAATTCTTCATTGCCGACGGAGAGGGTCTTCCTCGTTCACTAGTTGAGCAAGAAGCAAAACAGGCGAAAGAGATCCTCGACTTGTTCTCTCTCGAGGTAAATATATATTGTTCACTTGCAAGTTGCAAACTTAGTTCGTTTCTTAGAAAATCTGAGATACTAACGTTTTATGGGTTATGTCCGTTCTCTGTGGCAGAGCGATATGCTTATTCAGATGCTAATGACTGCGAGCGAGCTCATCAACATGGGAGTGAGTTCAGAGCAGCGGCGCTTGGAGGATGCACAAACTCTTGTTAGAGTTCTTTGCCACAAGAAAGACCGTAACGCCTCCAAGTTCTTAAAGCGCCAGTACGAGCTTCCTATGTCATCAGGTAAAAAACACATACATACGACCACTAGAGGACTTGGACTATCTTTAAATAAGAAATAGAAATATAAATTTCATTAAGATCATTACAAGTCAGAGAGCTACAATTGTTTTGAACTAAAAAGAACATAATGATTCTGTATCAACATTGCCATAACTCTTTAAAATACCATTGATTCGTGCTCTTTGTTGCAGAGTATGAAGATGTAACATCGAATCTGCCTGCTTTATCCGAAATCGTGAGAAGCACATCCACCCACTGGAGTACAACAAGCCAGAATAGTTTCAGTTCCATCAAGAAGAAGATTCAGGAGGCAACATCTGAAATCAGGAACAACTCAGGATGGTAGAACCTGTGTTTTTAGATACCTTTGTACCCTAACTCAATGAACCTTTGTTCTCAGAGCCATTGTTCTTATGACCAAACATATCCCCATTTTCCGTCTGGGACAGTACAATGGCTTGCCTATTCAATGGGGATCAGTATCAGTTTCTTGCATATACAACAAATCCTCTGAACCGGTAAGTGTTTTCATTTTCCGAGTTCAAGCCACGACCCATTATGGTTAGCGGAGTTATTCTCCTCCATGGGCTCTGCCTTAACATCAGAACTTTGTTCTCCCTCTTGGGCAACCGCTTCTCGTCTATCATCATCCTCTTCCCCTGCAGCACCCAATTCTTCTTCTCTCCTAGCTCGCTTAACCCCAATAGAAACCCCAAACAACCTCGGAGTCAAATCCTCATCAAGATTCAAACCAATCCCTGTCTCTATTCTAGAAGCCATTGCCATGGCTTCACTCATCCCTTGTCTCTCCGGTAAAAGATCTAAAGGTTTCCCTTCTGCTAACAAATGCGCACAATCTTCTCGACCCGGTGTGAAATTCGCCATTAATGTGTAGATATTCGCATACAATCCTTTAAACTTTGTCAACTCTCTCCTCAATCGCTCATTATCTTTCCTCAATCGCTCATTCTCCTCAACCAGCTCTGGTGCAGTGGTGCAGCTCGTTGTCCTCTGCAAAGAACCACCAACCACTCCTCCTATAGCAGCGGCTGCAGCCGCAGGCGAGGAATTAGACGATATAACCTGTTCTTCTCCAGAGTTCGACGGAGAAACAGCGTGAGCTACAACAGGAACCGCTGCTACCGTAACTGCCGAAGCCACTACTGCTGCCGCCGCTGCTGCAGCGGCTGCGGCCATAGCAGGCTGAGAGATTTTCCGCCGTTGAATATCCCGAAGCAGAATCTTCTCACCTCTCTTAAAACAGTCATTAGAAAACTCCCAACGATCTGGAACTACTTTTCGAAATCCCTAAAACCATTAATAAACCAAAATAAGAGCCACTACTAAAAATCAATAACTAAAAAATTTCGATTCAAACTTAAAGTGAGACTCACGTAAGTATTGAGCTGACGAACAAAACTAGAGAAATTGTTGTGTTTGAAGTACTTCGGAAGAAGATCTCTAGCGAATTCAGCTGGTCGCCACACAATAAAAGTTGTTCCATCTTCGTTCCACGATATCAATTCGTCGTAAACCGGATCTTCCACAAGCTGATACGTTTTCGTCAAAAACGGCGTTGGAATTGACCTCTGCGAATCTCCTCCTCCACCACCGCCGCCGCCAGCACCACATCCACTACTTCCACCACTATTCCCGGCACTACAACCAGCTCCACCGCCTCCAACTCCGGCCACCGTCGGAGTTTCTCCGGTTTGTTCCCCCGGCATGAGTTTTAGATCCACAGACACTGACACACCTCAAAAATCTAAGCTTTTCTTAATCCCAATACCCAAATTAAGATTAAGATTGGGAAAATGAAGAAATCTACCAATGGAAATGAGCTTTGAAGAAAGTTGGAATCATGAGATCACAATACAGAAACTAGACAGAGAAGAGAAAGGAGACGTCTTTCACAAACCAAATCCAAATTTTTTTGACGTAATCTTTTTTCTACACCAACCAAGACAGACAGAGATTGTCACAATCCAGACAGAACCCGTGATTGAAACACACACACACGATGATCACGAAGCTAGAGAGAGAGAGAGAGAGAGATTGTGTTGTGAAGTTCTAGAATGTTCTGGGAGAAACGTAGTGATAAGAAAGAGAGAGGAGAGAGAGATGGGGAGAGACGACAGATCGGAAGTTCCAGAAGACAACAACAAAAAATAAAAAGAAAAAAAGAGATCGAAGAAGAAGAAAAGGGTAAAATTGGAATTTAAAAAAGTGAAAGGGGACCACAAGAAGGAAAGAGTATAGGAATGTGCGAGAAGAGCGTATGTGGCTTCCTTACCTTTTTCCAGAAGTTTCTCGTCTTTCTTCTTTTTGTTATTACCCTTTTTGACCCTGTGAATATGTGAAACGCTAAATAGATTACTATAACATTTTTGGTAGTTAATGAGAGTGGAATAAAGTGATAGACTCGAATTCATTATTCTGAGTTGACTCTTTTTAATTACTTTTCTTATGTTTATGTTACATTAATATGAATTCAAATTTTGAGATTCCTTTATTGTAAACATAAAAAGGAAACAAACATCTTAGCAAAATATAGTCTGTGGTTAGTGTTAAAGTATAATGCTACTCTTATGTCATTATCCTGATTTAAATTGCCAAAAATGCTGCATCTATCTAACTATTACCAGCTAGTCAGCTAGATGATCCTTTTGTGATATATTATTTTTTATGTGAAAGTTAAATTTATCAAATTAACAAAAAAGTTAAATTTATCAAAAATAATTTATATAATTTACTCTAAAAATTGTGCGGCTTGTCTTAAAAAATACTATTGAAAACCGCATATTGCTTTTTCAGGAAAATAAAAGAATAATGATGTCCTCAACATTTTTATAATCTTTTTTAGAAGACAATGAAAATGAATTATGAACACGATCAAAATATGCATGATTTTACTTGGTTTAGTAACTCTTCATTCATGTAAAAAAAAAAAAAAAACTTCAGTCATAGACCCATTAGGCCCGCGTGGACATGGTTGGGTTTTAGTCGACCAAGACCGTATTCTCCAACTTGGCTTAAAGAGTTCGAGACGAAGCCTCTCACCACTCCACGCGGAGATTGATTCTTTGCTTTGGGCAATGGATTGTTTGATTTTGCTAGGCATTACTACTTGCGCCTTCGCATCTGATTGCTCGGACATGATATCGCTCCTTGACAACCAAGACGCTTGGCCAACCTTCGCAGCAGAAATGACATATTTCCGGTCACTCGTTTGTTTTTTCCCTTCTTTTAGTATTAGATTCCTTCCTCGTAGTTCAAATACTCGAGCAGATTGTTTAGCTAAACAGGCTCGATCTCGAAACAGTCTCTTTTCCCATGTAAGCTCGTCGGTTCCTGATTGGCTCTCCCTAGCGGAGAGTCTCTTTCCGATATCTTAATAAAAATGGTGTTTGATGAAAAAAAAAAAAAAAAAAATAGACCCATTAGGCCATTACTATTTTAGTGATACTTCCTCTGTCTACTTTGCAATTGCAACACTTGCAATTTCCTTTTGATATAAAAAAAAAAATCTTTTCTGTCAAATTTGATGAATCCTTTACCAATGACACTTTTGGACACTATACGAGGAAATCTAATTTAACTAATTTAAGTTTGTATTGTACAATGGTCATGCATGTACAAATCAACATTGCCGGTAAAACAAATAAATTTTGTTAAATAAATTTCCATTCCAACAAACAAATAATATCACATATACAGTATTTACATTACTTTACGAATTAAAGTATTAAACATGACTTGAATATAAAAACCCTTTACAAGATTTAATTACCACATAAATCTCTTGCAAAGTTTATAACCTGACAAAAGGCCAGAGAGTGTCAAAACAAGAAAAGCAGAGAATGACATTGAAACTGAAATTATGGAATTATTTCTTAGTGTTTTTATCGCATCCTCGTTTATATGTTGGATCCACGCAATTGCCACCGAAGAAGATGATACTAGTAGGTAACATATAGCCTGATTAGGTTTCGTATACACAAATAAAATTAGCTCAATCAAAAAAAAAAAAAAAAAAAAAAGTATTAGCTCAATTTGTTTTTGATGTTAAGTGTTAACAATTGACTATATATGGACTTATAGAAATTAATCAATAATAATGTAAAATGTACCTGGTCAAATATGAAGCTGATGTAATCCGAAAGAGGCTCAGAGATTAAAATTCCTCTGTGAGTAATATCACAAACTCCTTTGAATGTTTGCAAACATGTATACACGAATCCTGCCACTGCTACTCCAAAACAATACCTGCATATAGTTTTTTTCTTCATATATTTTAATGTTTTTAAGAATTGTATATTTAGATTGAGTTTAATTAAAACAAAATCATCCAAACTTTTTTCAACAATTTTTCTTTATGCTAATTGGTATGTTAATTCATGCGTTTTGTTAAACGACGTTAATGGATTTTTATTTCCGACACCATATTTTTTGGTTCATATATAAAGTTTCAAAAATATTCAATTTCATGCATATTAAAGATAATTAATACTGTATACTATACACCTTTATCCCTTATGTTCTGGGGAAGTTACTAGAAATAGCCTATATTCAATATCCAATTTAGTAAAATGATTACATTTATATAAACTAACAAAATGAACAAAAAATCATTAGATGTAAAAAAAAAACAATCTAAAATCTAACTTTCAATTCTAAATCTTAAATCCTAATGTGAAAAACTAAACTCTAAACCTGAATCCTAAATCATAACCCGCAAAACCTTAATCTATACCTAAAACCTAAACGATACTGTCTATTTCTTTAATTTAACAGAATTCAGCCTAACTTTTTATTCTATTTTTTAAGACCTTTTTTCAGTATCCCTCATTTTTTTAGTTAGTGAACAACGATAATCCAATTCCAGATTTGCTTGGAAATAACAAAACATCATTTTCTATATAAAATATCAGTATTAAACAATGAATTAAAGAAGATAAGGTTCTTAGTTTCTTACAATAGTTCAGGATATGAAGCAAAACTCGAGGAGTTCTGTGTCAGATGTCTCTTCGAAGGCCGATGAACATTCACTGCCAACGAAAGAGCAGAAACGAAACATAGAACCAAAGTTATAAACCGGAGAACCAAACCGATGACATGAACTGATGCTCGCCGTGAGCTGAATCTTGATGTTGAAGGCGTTATAGAGTATGCAAACAAAGACGGCGTCTGTTGAGAGACAGGCGACGCCGTTACTGAACCCTCCGATGGTCCATAGGTGATCACTACAACGTGATCTTTAAGCTCTTTCATCAAAATTTTGAGTGTTCCAAAAATAATTGAAGAGATTGATTAATATATGTGAAGTCTTGTTTTCTTAAAGATATACATTAAAGATTTACATGAAGTTTCAGCGAAAGTTTGTTAGAATTTTATATTGGGAGAACCGGAGATCGACCGAGATCGACGGTTGAGATGATCGCCCAAGATTATGGAAATCATGAAGGATCTAGAAGTTATCTTATCTTAAGTTTAGGAAGTTTAAAAAAAAAAAAAAAAAAAAAAAAAAAAAAAAAAAGTTTAGGAAGTTTAACATTATCTCTAAATATATTATTTACATTTATATTTATCTTAGATTAGGAAATCTCATCTCTATATAAGAGAATGTATCTTGTACAATTATTCTTATGAGAGTCTATTATAATTCTTCCTAAACACTTTTGTGTTCTTTACCCTCATCAATTTATCATGGTATCAGAGCCAAGATCCTTTCTGTGGATTTTGGATCCGTTACGTTAGCTTCCGCAAAGAAAAAAAAAAAAAAAAAAATCTGTTTCGGGAACAATGATGTTTTCTCGCCCTCGCGAGTTTAACTTCTCCTTTTGATTAAACTACTCGCCCTCGTGAGTTGTTTTTTTTTTTAGTCTCGCCATCGCGAGCTACATCTGAATCTCGCAATCGCGGGTGTTATTTTTATTACTTGAACCCTACGATCGGGTATAAACGTCGATGACCTAACGGCTGGGTTTTGTAGCCGATTTGAACCCTACGATCGGGTATAAACGTCGATGACCTAACGGCTGGGTTTTGTAGCCGATTTGAACCCTACGACCGGGTATAAACGTCGATGATGACCCGACGGCTGGGTATAAAGCCGCTATTCTGAAGATTTGTCCAATCTCACACGTGTTACCACGTATGAGCTTGCCGGGGGGTATTGGGAGAACCGGAGATCGACCGAGATCGACGGTTGAGATGATCGCCCAAGATTATGGAAATCATGAAGGATCTAGAAGTTATCTTATCTTAAGTTTAGGAAGTTTAACATTATCTCTAAATATATTATTTACATTTATATTTATCTTAGATTAGGAAATCTCATCTCTATATAAGAGAATGTATCTTGTACAATTATTCTTATGAGAGTCTATTATAATTCTTCCTAAACACTTTTGTGTTCTTTACTCTCATCAATTTATCATTTTATACATTTTTTTCTTCCACGTTATAATCTTAAAATATGGTTGGTATGACTAATAATTCTTAATATTTTTTCTTTCTAGTTGACTAAATTTCTCTTGCAAGATAAAGTCTACTTGGGATAATTGAAACTATACCCTGCAATTCATATTTTTGTATATCACTACAAAAATAAAATTCTTGAATATATACATAGTGAATTAGTGATCATGAAAAACAATATAGAGACATGTTATTTATTTCTTTATTTCTTTTTTTTTTTTTTTTTTTTTTTTTTTTTTTTTTGAGACATGTTATTTTGGCTGATGATTAAGAGTCAAAATAACAATATATTTTTGGAGTGAGGCTGCAAAATTGAAATTCTCCAGGATTCAATCTCAATAGTGAGTGAACAAACTATTCAGACATAGAGATATATGGGAA